AGTAGGAAAGAAACACGAATAAAAAAAAAATATCTTCCTTACTACAATTATAATTATAATTCTATAGAAATTGCAGTTTCATTCCTCCAACTATTCTTCTGTCATCTGAGATTTTCATCAGAAATAAATAGTTTTTCATTCAATTTCAATGTTGGAAAGTAGCTCATTCGTCGAACGATTTTTTTAACGATTTAATTTATAATAATGGCTATTTATCTAAAAAATAATTGGCCCTGTTACGTAGGAAAAATTGAATGAAATTGAGAAGAAGATGGAAAAATCGTTCAATGAAAAAATAAACTACTTTCTCAGCCCAAAAAATATTTCTGGCGAAAATTGTGGAGTAGAAAAGAATTGCAAAGGAGAAAATTTCCCAAAATATTAGCAATAACAAGAAGTTTTCACTTGCAATAATTCCAGCTACTGTTTAGCGCCATTTGTTGGCAGAATAAAAATCCCAAGATGCGTTTGTCCTCATGAATTCCTTCGATCCAGTTTCTTGGATATGAAATTATCTCAATAAGAAGTGATTCAACAACAAAATGTGATAATTAATTTAGGTTGAAAAGCTACTCACTAGAGAAATTAAAGCAATCACCAAAAAATTGTGATTCCGTCCGATTAATTATTTCATTTCATCGACACTGGCTTCATCTCCTTAATTTTTCCACACCTTATTCATGTGACCTCAACGATTTCCGTCTCAATCACGAGTCAGCCGACTCGAATTTATTAATTCTGCTGCCAATAAATAAATTAATTAATTATCATTCATCGAATTTCGCGAATTCCCAGCAGATGATGAAAAAATCATCAGTGCCACTCACTCAATCTTCACGCTCACAGTTTTCACTAGAACAGAATTCCCCCCAGGTATACACAGAGACATCACTTCATTCTTACAAGACTTACAAATACAGCAAGTTATCAATTTGTTTTTCTCCATTTTCAGTTTGTTTTTTCTCGATTAGTTATTCGCTCTTGTGAAACAATGACATTAAATTTTGTTCAACCTGCCATCGACTGATATCCTCCAAACCTTCGTTCTGGCGTTCTGTGCGTCGTATCCAGTATCTCTCAAGTAATTACATTCTTTATTACACGATTATTCGTACACGCCGTCGACAACGAGCGATTTTTCAAATCAAAGACGGTATTTTTTGCTCAAGTTTCATTAGTTTTTTCTTTTTGTTCTTCTTGTTTAGGGCCCAGTTGGATTATCCTTCGAACGTTATCTCGACTGTTTTTCCATCTTCGTAATCTAAAATATATCACAATTTCCAGTGGACTTTACATCACACCGGAGTCCCTAAAAATTATGCTTACACAATCGAAACAAGTAAAAAAACTGAACATTTCCAAAGAGCCTCTTTAATAAAGATTATGAAATAAGTTCGATGGAGAGGGAATAGTGAATGGATAATTTAGTAGCGAAGCGGTAAAACGGTTCAAGTCGATTTTAACTTTTGGCCAGTTTTCAATGAATATCTCGAAATCTAAGGGAGGCAGCAAAATTTTTGTTATAACCTTTTTTATAAACCTATAGGAGAGCTATGAAAAAGGTCATTACGAAAATTGCGTTATCTCCCTTAGATTCGGAAATATTTCCCGAAAACTGAGCTAAGGACTAAGTCGACTTAAACCGTTTTATGGTTCCAACGAACGGTCTGACAGCCATTGACTACTGTGACAAATGACGATCTAACAGCCATTAGACACATCAAATTATTAATTTGCAATTTCCTCCCTATTGGGTTTATTTCAGTAGTGAAGTGGTCAACCGGTTCAAGTCGACTTAGCTCCCAGTTGAGTTTTTGTTGGATAACTCGGAATTTAAGAAAGATGGCGAAATTTTTGTAAGATCTTTTTTGATAGTCTTCACTTTTCTTTACAAAAAAGATTTTTAGGAAAATTTTGCCAACTCCTTTAAAATGTGAGATATTCATCGAGAACTGGCGCTAGAATGGAATTGACTTAAACCGTTTCACCACTTCACTACGGATTTCCCAATATTATTCAAAAACGCTCTTTTAAAATGTTCAGCTTTTTTCAACATTTTTTTGATTATACAATCATAATTTTTGGAGACTCTAGGGCTATGTAAAGCTGAATAACAATTGGAAATCATTTCAGATTATCAAAATAAAAAAATCAACGCAGATCACGTTCAAAAGATAAGATAAGATAAGATAATCCAGCCGGGATTTGAGGGGAGACACTACTGAAATTTGAAAGTCCTGCAATAAAAAACTGGCCTTCGTGAGCAGTAGCGAGGCGGTACTCCGGGTAAAGTCGATTTTGAGTATTGGCCAGTTTTTTTATGAATATCTCGGAATTTAGAGGAGATAGCAAAATTTTTGTCACAATCTTTTTTGTAGAGCCAATCGAGGGTTATAAAAAAGGTTATGAGAATAATTTTGCTATCTCTCTTAGATTCCAAGATATTAATCAAAAACTGGCCAAAGGTCAAAACCGGGTTAAGTCGATTTTGACTATTAGCTAGTTTTTAACGAATCTCTCGGAATCTAAAAGAGATAAAAAAAATTTTGTCATGACCTTTTTTGTAGAGTCAATTGAGTGCTATAAAAAATGTCATGAGAAAAATTTTGCTATCTCTCTTAGATTCCGAGATATTCATCAAAAACTGGCCAAAAGTTAAACTCGACTTAATCCAGTTTACCGCTTCGCTACTGACTGATTTTTCTCACATGCGTAGTCACCTAGCAAAATATGTTTCCAGCCATATCCATGATGGAGATTTAAAAACAACGATTTTACCCTTTGAAAGTCTATAAAGTGAGTGAAAATGATCGGATCGTATTTTATTTATTCATTCCATTATTCTCTGAGCTAACTCGATTTCCATTTCGATTTAAAAATTCCTGACCGGAAACGATGAATTTTATCGGTGTCAAAGCGTATTCAGGTCCTCCCCCGATTTTTATTAATCACTAAACAGAAGTCACGAAATAGTAGAATTATTGACTCGAGATTACTTCACATTCCTGAATAAAAACTGCTGCTATGATTAATGATTCCATTATATCAATACAGAAGGTAAAAGAACTTCCCTAACAAAATTAGTAAAAAAAATTACTTTCGACATTTCTCTGCAGAATTTCGCGTCAATAATTCGATGTATGCTCTAATGATTAATCACTCTCTTCCACAGATGAACAATTCTCACCAGAACGTCAAATGATCATCAATCACTTTACCTATCCCGTCTCGATCCCTAGAAACCTTCACCTGAATCCCCAACGACTCAATATTGTCATTCAAGTAATGCAAACAATTCCAATACAAATTAAATAGAATAGTAATTACTCGCATAATGACATTGCAAATGGAATTCCTCCCATTGTTGTGCGAATGAAATTCTCTCATCTAATTCCCTGAAATCTGCTCCTCAAAATTGATTCCCTCCCATTAAAACGAAGGAGAGAGAAATGAAGCTAATTCGCGTGTGCATTGTATTGTGTGCGTATCAAGCAACAAGAAGTTTGTGACAAAAAATGCTGACGATTTATGTTGCTTTGAATTCAGTCACTGCAGTGTAGAAGTTGTCGTTTGTGATCTCGTAAATTTCATCAGTTTACAGCGTAAAAAATGTTCATTTGGGGTAAATAAATGGTGTCAACCTGGAGGTTTTATTTCATTCTTCGCATCAAAGGGAGAATGAAATATCGTTCTGAGCGCCGTTGACGATTAAATTTCTCGTGAAATCGATCGTTAGGTATTTTTAGACGATTTGTAATGTCGCGTGATACGAATCTGTGGTGGAGTGACGGTGAAATGGAGATATGTCAAAAGCCTTCGGACTTATTGTTTTGTAGATTTTATAAACTGATGGGTTTGAGGAGAAATTTTGAAGGACATTTATTGTAGGCGAGAAGAAAAGGTCTTTTAGAATTTTTGAATGTCTTTTATCCCTTCCTCTCAAACATCTCCACAAACCAGTCACTTCTCTTCAAACTTGTCCTCAATCGTTCACAGAGAAAAAAATTTTCATTTTCAGAAACTTGCCACTAATGTTTAGGAATCTATCACCAATTGTTGGTGCTACTAGATATTGAGTGTAACAACCCTGATCATCAGTGATTTTGTCACTGAAATTTGGCATTTCCCTGAAAATTAATGACATTTCACTAAAAATTAGTGACGATATCACAGGAGTTAATGATAATGTCACTAGAAATAACTGACAAAATCACTGAATTCCAGAATTTTGCACGCGTTGCAAGTTGTAAACGATTTTCCTAAAAATTCGTTCATTAGGTATTTTCAGACGATTTTTAATGCAATATCGCGTGATACGAATCCGTGGTGGAAAAGTGCATACATATTAAAACTTTCGGACCTGTTATTCCGCAGCTTCTGAAACTACCGAATTTAATGGAAAATGTTACGCATCACAATCGCGAATTCCCAAAAATTGTCTGAATTTCCAAAAAAAAAAAATTCTTCTCTGTGTTCATCACTCCCACCAGACTCAATCCTAACGACAGCCACTAAAAAACGCCATGAATCTATTTTCAATCATGCCTCACAAGCCTTGTACACATGCTTCCACCCACATAGAATAGAAAAGTCGAAAAAAAATGTAAATAATACAAATAGCTTTTGGAGTCGATCGATTAAAATATTAAAATATACGAAAACGAATGAAGAAGCAACTCGGTGTCGGCGTGTCGGTATTATCAAGTAACGACTTGGCTGGTCGACGCGAATAACGTACTTATCCATCTTCCACTGGTACGAGACGTGTTTTAACGTCCTCTGGGCCCCTCAAGCCCGTTCCGGCTCATCTCCACGACTGAGTCAACATTTTCACCCCTCGAAAAATTCCGACTGTCCATTAAATCAATTCGCAATAAATCAGTGATTCAATCAATTGATTTTGGGTAAAAAATGTCATCAGCGGCCCGAAAACACCCCCTCAGCCAGCGAATGAGGCGAGCCGAAACGAACAATCGATATCAATTTTTTGTGTTCTTTTTTCTCAATTTGTTTTTTCTTAAATAATTTTTTTCCTTCGGTGATTAATTCTTCATTTTTGTGGAAACAACGTTCGTCCAGTAACGTTTTAGTTTTCTGTACGTTAATGTAGATTACGAAGTAACTCTAGTAAAGACCACAGCCACGGAGATTGTTGGCGATAATCACGTCTGTGACAGCGTCGAACACAAACTGAATGTTGTTTGTGTCTGTGGCGCAGGTCATGTGGCAGTAGATCTCCTTTGTGGTCGATTTATTTTTCGCCTCGAATTGTGCCTGTATGTATGCCGCTGCCTCGCTGTACTCCTGAGCGCCTGTTGCATATTTAAAGAGAAGGAAATTAGTATTTCTTCAATTATAATATCACGATCAAGTCGAGGCATTTGGGGCGACTCTCGCAATTGGCCTTCCCCTCCTTTATGACCGTCACAATTTGCCAAAAAAATATGACAGTTATTTTTCGGCTATGTAGATGCAACTTCATTTTTCCTTTATCAATTTTTATCTGAATTCATTTCGTATTAACATAATGTGCATTTTGAAATGAAAATCACGCTCATTTTTCACTTCTAGAGATGAAATCAGTAGCGAAGTGGTAAAACGGTTCAAGTCGACTTATCTCCCAGTTGAGTTTTTGAGGAATATTTCCGAATCTAAGGGAGATAGCGAAATTTTCGTATCTACTTTTGTTGTAGCTCTCAATCGGCTCTACAAAAAAGGTTATAATACAAATTTTGCTATCTCCCTTAGATTCCGAGATATTTATTGAAAACTGGTCAGTATTCAAAATTCACTTATATCGTTCTACCACTTCGCTACTGAAATGAGTTTGGTTTTCCTTCAATTTCTCGCTAATGAATAGATGGAATTGAATTTTTTTTTTTTCAAATGTAGGTATTGGCAAGCCCTATCCATCAAAATTAATTAAAATTTAATTCATTGACTGATTTTTTAAATTTTCAAATTTTTTGAAAATTCAGTTGTAATACGATAACTAAAAAAAATGTTCTATATTCATTGAATGACGGCTTAAAAAATTCGTTGGAATGTCCTTTTGATCGAGAGCGAAGATGAAAACGATAGCAATATCATTGTTTTGATTTTTGTGAAATTTTTCCAAATTTCGTATTTTTCGAAAATCAGAATTCCACAGATATCTCTGGATGTTGCGCTTGAAATTAATTCAATCATAGCTTAATATGTTCGTTTTTATGCGACTATATCGAAGTTAGAAGATGGTTACAATAACTGTCTTGGTTAATTTGATTTTTAGAATAATTTTTAGAAATTTCGAATTTTTCATGAATTCCCCGGAAAGTTAACTTTCTGATGGTTCCTTTAAATGTGATGTTTCGAATGCATTCAATTATGTATGAATGAAACATTCATAATAATATTTCATAAAAATTTTCAAAAATTTTTAGAATTCATTAAGTGGAAAATCTAAAACAATTAGTTGGAAAGAAATTTATTCAATTCAAGAAAATAAAATAGGCTATGAATAATATACAATGGAAAAAAATTAGCAAAATGACGATTCGGAAGTCTATTGCTAATTCATTAGCAAAAATCACTACACTATACGCAATACAGAAGCAATTTCCCACTTGTTTTACTTCCGAATGGAAGTATTTGTAATCGTTCAAACTTTGATTTTGGATTTTTTGTGTTATATCGACCCAGAATGATCAAAAAAATCCGAAAATTCAACTTATAGACCTCAATTGTTCGCTAATGAGTGGATGGAATTAATTTTTTTTTTAATGTAGGTATTGTTGAGCCCTATCGATCGCCATTAATTGAATTAATTAAGTCATTAATTAATTTAATTAATGACTTGAAAAATTCTAAACGATTAAATTAATTTTTATTTGATCGTTCAAGTCATTAATTAAATTAATTAATTTAATCGTTTAGAATTTTTGAAAATGTGGGATTTTGTGAATATTTCGTTAACAATTATATTTTTTACCCCCATGAACTTTTCTGATATTAAATCAGTAGTGAAGTGGTCAATCGGTTTACGTCGGTTTACGTCGACTTCGATAGGCTTCACTTTTCTTTACAAAAAAGATTTTTAGGAAAATTTTGCTAACTCCTTCAGAATTTGAGATATTCGATATTTGACCACTTCACTACTGAAATATTGTTACCAAAACAACAGAGTAAATAATAGTTTTCCGGATTTCATCAGAAACTTCATCTTTCTTCGGCCACATTCGAAATAAAGGAATGACAAACTCACCGGCGTATTCAGGAAAACAGATGGTGAGAGGTGACTTGCGGATTTTCTCCTCAAACAGATCTTTCTTATTCAAAAATAGGATTATCGAGGTGTCAGTGAACCATTTGTTATTGCAGATTGAGTCGAACAGTTTTAAACTCTCCTGCATTCGATTCTGAAAGTCAAGAAAACATCATTTAATCATGCGTACTGCAACATTTTTTCAAATGAGAAATTTTCTCAGGTAAGACAATTCGGAGTAATTCTAAATGTTAATAATTTTCAATGGAGTTCATTCGAGGTAATTTCCACTTTCAACCCATGAACTAATCATGAAATCGAATCTGAAATGAACTAATACCGATCCCTGCACCTCGCAACTTGCACCAATAAAATAACAAACAATTAAGTAGATGCGCCGAGACTTGAATGGAAACTGTCGTGTGACTCTGTGTCAATTGATTTACACATTGGCACTTGTGCACAAGGGTGTTCCGTACGTGAGTATTATTTTATGCGTGCCTCGAAATTGAATGGAAGCCTTCCCACATATTGTGACCCCGACTAATTGATCTCTTCATTCCCAGTATTCTCTAGGCAGGGAGCACACACCATTTCCACGCCTCAACGATCCTCTAATTTGGTTCATTCAAAGCCTTCTCTCGGCGTGTTTTGTTGGCTGGGTGTCACTCACGGTGTATCAAAGGTCAACATTTTTCTTAGGCTAAATTTAGATTAGTTGAGTTCATTGAGGAGACGCTTCATTGAGCCTGTCGACGTGAAAGCATTTCAAATCGATGGAAGAAATCATTTCCAAAATATTTCTTGGATTCTGTACAAGCTTTCAGGGTGTTTATACAACCGATTGAAATTTTATGGATGTTGATGGTAACCGATTATTAGGGGAGAGTGGGGCAAAATGAAACAGTCAATAAAACTGCTGACGCAATTCAAGTAAGACGAAATTTTTTTATTAAATTTTTTTTTGTCAACTTTTTTTTATTCTTGGGAGTACTGATGAGAATAATAATTTTCCATTCAGCAGAATAGAAAATTATTGAGAAGTTTTGAAGGACGAAGATTTTGTCAATGGATTATTCGATTGAAATTTAGCATCACATTTTCCTTTTTGCCCCTGTGGGGCTTCCCCTGGGCCTTACTCTGGACTTTGAATTTTGCTGTTTCATTTTCTTTTCAATTGATCCATTGACAAAATATTCGCTCGTCAAAACTTCTCAATAGTTTTCCACTCTACTGAATGGAAAATTATTATTCTCATCGGTATTCCCAAGAATAAAAAAAAGTTGATGAAAAAAATATTTAATAAAAAAATTTTTTTGCTTGAATTGCGTCAAACAGCCGTTTTTTTGGCTGTTTCATTTTGCCCCAGCCTTTCATTTTACTCCACTCTTACCGATTCTTTGAACAATAAGTTTTCAAACGTATTTACAAAAATATGTGGAAATTGGCAGTAAATGGTTCAACTTTTTTCAGTTTCTGGTAATTGAAATGTATTTGTTATTTTGTATTCATTTTTTGTGTATTTATTGCTTCCGAATGGAAGTTTTGTAATCGTGCAAATTTAAGTTTTGGATTTTTTGTGTTACATCGACTCAGTGTGATCCAAAAAGTTCGTAAATGTAATTTTTAGACCTCGTCCGTACGTGTGTGTATGTCTGTACGTATGTAACAAAGTTTTTCTTAAATTGCTGAGCCCTATCGATCGCCATTAATTAAAACATAATTCACCGATTAATTTTTTTAATTTTCGTTTTTTTCTCTAAAATCGATTGTCCCACGATAACTAAAAGAAAGGTTCTGAATTCAGTAGCGAAGTGGTAAAGTGGTACAAGTCAATTTTGACTATTGACCAGTTTTCAATGAATATCTCGAAATCTAAGGGAGATGGCAAAATTTTTGTTATAAGCTTTTTTGTAGAGCCAGTTGAGAGCTACAACAAATGTAGTTATGAAAATTCCGCTATCTCCCTTAGATTCCGAAATATTCCTCAAAAACTCAACTGGGAGATGGGTCGACTTAAACCGTTTTACCACTTCGCTACTGAATTAATTGAATGATGGCTTAAAAATTTTGTTTGGGTGTCTTTTTGACCGAGTTCAAAGATGAAGGCGATAGCAATAATCGTTATTTTGACTAATTTGAAAATTAACAAAAATTTTGTATTTTTTGAAAATCAAAATTCCGGGGATATCTTTGAATATCATGCTTCAAATGTATTCAATCATGGCTTAAAATGTTTGTTTAATACCATTAAGTCACATATAGACTAACACTCAATCCATAGTGTAAATAAATCATGTAGATTTGAGCGCTTTAAACAATAAAAAAAAAAAATACCATTAAATCGAAGTTAAAAGATGATTACGATAGCTATATTGGTTGATTTAATTTTTATGATGATTGTTGAAAATTCCGAATTTTTCATGAATTTCCCTGAAAGCGAGCTTTCCGGTGGTTTCTTCAAGTGTGATGTTTCAAATTCATTCAAGTAAGTATAAATAAAATTTATCTATCAACATTTTATCGAAGGGCTGAGGGGAGAGATTTTTTTTTATTGGTGAGGGGAGAGATAGAACTGTAAAAAAAGCGATCAGTTCTATATAAGAAAGGGATAATAAGAATAATGATGATGATAGCATTCAACTAAGTTAGAAATCGAACAAGATTAGTAAAAAAGAAATCTTATTCAATTTATTAAAATGAAGAAAATAATAGAATAAATAGTCAAAATACTTGGATATCATTAAAATCTCTCTTGAAATAAATTCTTCAGTGTAAATTAGATTATGAAGCTTTAGTCGAAGGAGAGTATTGTGTTGTCTCTCCGAAAACCAAAAATAGAATTTTCTTTATCGAAAAAATCGATATATCTCGTTAACATAACAAGTACCCTGGAGTGATGAAACAGGAGTGACTCCAGCGTAGTTGGAAACTCGAGATACATTTCGCAAAAGGCAACATCATTGTCTAATATGTCTATTATCCCATTGCCCGCGGGTAGGTGTGCACAGAGCAGTAACATCAGAGTCTCGAAAAACCAGATTTAACGACTGCAGAACTCGACCTTACGTATGCTTTAATATAAACACGTGCTATATCACTGACACACTGTTCTCAAGTAACCGTTTAGACGCACATTAATAATGGGTAAATTGCTGGGGACATTTAGAGTGAAATATTTTGCGGATGCGGAGGAGGCCGTGTCCATGTGTATAAAAAAATGTAATCTTTTTATAGGAAATTTAATTCCCCAGGGGAGAGTGGGGCAAAATGAAAGAGCCGAAAAACCACTAATTGACGCAATTCAAGCAGAAAAAAAAATTGTTTATCAACTTTTGTTTATTAACTTTTTTTATTATTGGGAGTACTGATGAGAATAATAATTTTCTATTCGTCTTATAATTCAATTGATTATGAGCCAATTGATTGGATTAGGCTGATTACACTTTTCTTTTTTCATTCGATTGAAATTCAGCATCACATTTTCCTTTTTGTCCCTCTGGGTCTCCCCCTGGGCCTTTCTCTGGATCTTGGATTCTGTTTCATTTTATTTTCAATTAATTCATTGATGAAATCTTCTCTCCTCAAAACTTATCAATAATTTTCCATTCTACTGAGTGGAAAATTATCATTCTCATCAGTACTCCCGAGAATAAAAGAAAGTTGATAAAAAAAAATTTAATGATAAAACATTTAATGAAAGAAAATTTTTCTGCTTAAATCGGGTCAAATAGTCGTCTTTCGGCTGTTCCATTTTGCCCCACTCTCTCCTATCTGAAGAGTTTCCAAATATTTTTATTTCTAAAATTAATCATTTTTCATAATTCGATATTCTTTAAACTGTTAATTTTTAATAATTTAATTTCTAAACTGAGTTGTGTGATAGAAGAGAAATCTAATAGAATTCATGAGTAATGATCACTTCTTTTAAAAATATACGCTTCTTTTAAATAATCCAAGTAGATTTTCCGAAATCACCAAAATGCAGTTATGAATGAATGATTAAAATCGTTCTGTAAATATAATTGCAGACAAAAATATTTTCATAAATTGATATTTAAATTTAATGAAAAATACATCCGGAGAAAAAATAATTAAAAATTAGAAAATAATTGAATTAAATTGCTTTCTTTATTTAATAATAATTCAATTGTTTAAGCTTTCCAAAATATTTCTGGCATTTTGTTAGTAAATTTGAGTAAAAATTGGTTTCGGAACAAAATTTAGAATCGGAAATTGTTTATTCACATATAATTAATTAATAATGCGCGTAATCTTCCAAAATTCCTATTCTCAATTGTATCATTGATATTTCAATTTCAATTTTAAAAAATTATTCATCTATTTATTTTCTTTCTGAACACGCGAAAATATCCGATTACACTCAAATTCAAGGTTTCTGTAAAATTCAGTAGCGAAGCGGTAAAACGATTCGAGTCGATTTAGCTCTCAGCTTGGTTTTTGAGGAATATCTCCGAATCCAAGAAAAATAGCGAAATTTTCGTAATTACCTTTTTTGTAGCGCTCAATTGGCTCCACAGAAAAGGTTCTAATAAAAAATTTTTTATGTGCTTTGGATTCCGAGATATTCATTGAAAACTGACCAATAGTCAACTCAACTGGAACCTTTTTACGCTTCGCTACTGAATTTTAGATATAAACACATTAAGAATAGAATAAAACATAGAATAGAATAACAGTTGAAAAGAATTTTAACAGGAGAACAGTCCATAATTTTTTATGGAAAATTTTCTCAACTAAAAAATGTCACTTCTGAAATTAATAATTCTCGAATAATTTGCGGGACTCTCTGTACGACTTGAATAGGGAATTGTAATTAATCTCTTAATTAATTTTCTCACCGTGGTCTCGTCCTCGTGAAGAACTTGGTCGTACTCAGACATTGCCACGCAGAAGATAATTGCTGTGACGTCTTCGAAACAGTGTATCCATTTTTTACGCTCACTCCGCTGTCCACCCACGTCGAATAATCTGTGTAGCGTAATTCAGTAATTAATTGATTTATTTTTGTTTCTCGCAAGGTCATGGTGGAGAAATCCTTTCTATTGTTAACTCAATATAAAATAGAATTATTAACAACAATTGAAAAAATAATTTACTGTTTTTTGCAGCGATAAATATCCAGGGAAATTTGAGAAATTGTGTGAATGGATTTTTCTCTTTAATTCATTGAATAGATAGAACAATGGCAAAATGATATTAATTTCTCATTTATGATGAAGTGAAAAACCTTTTAGCAAAAACACCACACAAAATGTAGAGTTTCAAGTTGAGTTTGCGAGTTTTAATGATCGTCTTTTCTTGAATATTTGGGGGTTTTGATTTGTAATTATTTTTCACAATGACATAGTTATTTTCAAACATGTCTTGGTTAGATAGGAATTATTTCAGTAGCGAAGTGGTAAAAGGAGATAAGTCAATTTTGACTATTGACCAGTTTTCAATCAATATCTCGGAATCTAAGTAAGATAGCGAAATTTTTGTAATTATATTTATTGTAGCACTCAATCGGCTCCACAAAAAAGGTTATAACAAAAATTTCGCTATCTCCCTCAGATTCCAAGATATTCATTGAAAACTGGTCAATAGTCAAAATTGACTTATCTCCTTTTACCACTTCGCTATTGATTTCATTTGAAAATACCAAAGTTCCAAACACTGTTTGAAATTCTTGAAAAATTTTATCACATGATAGGGTAAACTGCCCAGAAGATGGACGCCTGAGAAAACCGCCTAGTGGATGGACGTTTGTTTTTTAGCAATTGAAAAAAAATCGCTGTTCAGGCGTTGAGAATCGCAACAGTTAGTGAGAATTCAAAGCAACAATTCACATTTCGACATTTTTTTGCGTAAATTCCTATCCAAAAGTAGTTTGTCCATCTAATGGGTAGCGTACCCTAGTTCAATCGAGAGTTCAACTGGAATTTCAAAGAATTTTGTCATTGCAAATTGCAAATTTTTATAGAAAAATCAAGGAAAACTATGAATTTTACTTGAATTATTCCATGAAAATTAATAAAAATCAGGAAGAATTATATATTTATGTTCTTGAATTTTTAATTAACTGGAAATTCTGCGTCATTTATTCTGAATATTGATGTTTCGTTTCAGAGTTCAAGTGAGTTGGGGAATTCTCATCTTGTTGCTGCTGAACAATTTGAAATTTGATGATAATCCCCCCTAAATCGAAGTTAATGTCACTCCCCTGAAAATTATTAGTCAACTAACTAACTAACTAATTAACTACTAAACAACTAACTTCAAACGAGGCCTGTTTAAGAACATGTTTTTTCCTCTCAGTGGATAATAAAATCTCAGTGGGGCGGATTATTAAATAGAGGGATAGAATGATGCTCGAGAGTACTTACTTGAAATTGAGATTTTTAAATGAAAAGTGAACCTCAACTATTCCAGTGGTTTTAACTCGAGTCCTTAAAATATCTTGTTCCGTTGGCTGATATTCCCTCGCCCCTAATCGGTCGAGGTCATCCAAAAAGCTGAAAAAGGCGTGTCATTAGCATCGCCAATCTTGTCGACTTAAACGGATGTGAATGAAATTTTTTAGAACTGTTTTGAGCTTTAATCTCTTTGTATGCGATAATGACTGATGGACGATGTAAAGAACCGACAGGCTATGCATAGGAGTGGTCTTATCATTTGTTTATTGCTCAATGAACCTCTGTGGAACTATAAAATTAATAGCTCTTGACCCCATTTTTCCATAATTTTCCGTAATCATCTTTCTCAACTCTCTTTTCTGACGAATTTTCTTATAATTCAAGTCACTGAGTGGAAAAAATATTGATTGTTTTACTGTACACGGAGAAAAAAAATTATTTTTGCTAAATATCCATTTTCTTGAGAGAAGTATTTATTTTTTCAATACCATTTTCCTCCAGTCGCGCATTCTCATTAGGTTTTAATTATGACAATTATGTTGCTCTTGAAGATGATCATGGTAGTTAAAAGCTCGAATGAACTCTCTCATCAATAATCACAAACATTTAAAAATTACTTGAAATTCTTCCCTGTAGAAAATAAGAAATTTACGAAAAATGAAAAATCATTAGAGAAGTTTATCCATGGTCATGTTTAACATAGTCATCCTCTAGAGCAACATCATTGTCATAATTGAAACCTAATCAGGTTCGTCTGAGAGTGATGTGATTGGAAAAATACGATTTTGGAAAAATAAATGCTTCCCTCCAGTAAATGAATATTTGGCAAAAATATTTTTTTTTCTCACTCTAAGGAAAAACATATTGATTCAGTATTAAAGTGATAAAGGAAGATGACTTCAAAAGAAGTATTTCTATAAATTCTCCAAGTCTTAATTTTAAAGATATTTGTGGAATAATCCACACGTGAACTTTAGAGTCATTAACTACTAGTTTATCATCTATTTATTGTTCAATGAACCCCTACGGAAGTATACAATTAATAGTTCTTGGCAATCGTCCGTTAATAGTCCTTGATACTAATTATACATAGGAGTATCGTTATCATTTATTTATTGCTCAATGAACCCCTGCGGAACTATAGAATGAAAAGTTCTTAGAAATCGGCCAGTTTTCTGCAGTAAAAATATCATTGACCCCATTTCTCAATAATTTTCTCTAATGTTCCTTCTCAACGCTTATGCTATTTCCCTTAAATGTGGGATTACCCTAATAATTATCACGGAATTTGACAACGAAATCTCAAAACATATTTTAATAGGAAATTTCCCCTCTAAAAAAGCTCTCCTAGTATTTTCCTTCCCAAAATAAATTCACGCATTCCAAACCATTTATGAGATCGCAATTCTCTCCCCATGAAAAATCATTGCATCGTTCATTCGCCCAGAGAACGAAAATCATTGAAATTTGGAAATCCATTTTCGTTCAATTTTCGATGAGTTTGAAGATTTAAGCTTTCATTGAAAAATCTATGATTATTTAACATGAAAAACCCAATTTTTTTAAATTGTCAAGATGAATGAGGAACTGAGTGAACGTTTTCATATGAAATTGAATTCAAACTCAGAACATTGAAAATCCACATGATGCTGTGACTGAAATTTCAAGAAATTTCTAACATAATGCATTTTAATAGTTCAATTTCCCTTCTACAAAAGCTCTCCTGACATTTTCCTTCCCAAAATAAATTCACGCATTCCAAACCATTTATGACATCGCAATTCTCTCCCCATGAAAAATCATTGCATCGTTCATTCGCCCAGAGAACGAAAATCATTGAAATTGGGAAATCCATTGTCGTTCAATTTTCGATGAGTTTGGAAATTCAAGCTTTCATTGGAAAATCAATGATTCTTTAACATGAAAAACTCAATTTTTTTTTTATTTCGAGATGAATGAGGAACTGAGTGAACGTTTTCATATGAAATTGAATTCAAACTCAGAACATTGAAAATCCACATGATGCTGTGACTGAAATTTCAAGAAATTTCTAACATAATGCATTTTAATAGTTCAATTTCCCTTCTACAAAAGCTCTCCTGACATTTTCCTTCCCAAAATAAATTCACGCATTCCAAACCATTTATGACATCGCAATTCTCTCCCCATGAAAAATCATTGCATCGTTCATTCGCCCAGAGAACGAAAATCATTGAAATTGGGAAATCCATTGTCGTTCAATTTTCGATGAGTTTGGAAATTCAAGCTTTCATTGGAAAATCAATGATTCTTTAACATGAAAAACTCAATTTTTTTTTATTTCGAGATGAATGAGGAACTGAGTGAACGTTTTCATATGAAATTGAATTCAAACTCAGAGCATTGAAAATCCACATGATGCTGTGACTGAAATTTCAAGAAATTTCTAACATAATGCACTTTAATAGTAAATTTTCCTCTACAAAAGCTCTCCTGGCATATTCCTTCCCAAAATAAATTCACGCATTCCAAACCATTTATGACATCGCAATTCTCTCCCCATGAAAAATCATTGCATCGTTCATTCGCCCACAGGACGAAAATCATGGAAATTTATAAGCCAAAGGAGATGAGCCAACAGGACGACTAAACTGCGGGCAACCCCCGATTCACCCCAGGTTTAGGTTGGGTGGCTCAACCCGTGTAAAGAGGGGCGCCAGCATCAGCCACTCTCTCTCCTACAAACCCACGTGACCACGTGACACGGGCGTGGCGTGACGTCATTGACGATCAATACAACATAGAGACTTCCACGCTCTACATTCTACATGCTTTCTGTGTACTTTTCACCCCCCTCCATTGGTAGACCCAATGTCTCTCTTCTCCCTCCACGGTCTCTCTCGATTTTCTCGAGGAAAATTTGTGCCGCATGGGAGTTCGCCGCCCTACTCTGCATCCACTGTTCACTCAACAACAGTTTATAATAGTTTAATAAACTCATCCACAGCATCATGTGGTTCCTCGTTCTTCAAAAAAACTCAATGCTTCATGCAATTTTTCTTATAGCTTTCCTCTGAGGAAGGGGTGCACGAGTGCTCTGGAGGATATCTCGACGGAAAAACACCCTTTGACATTTTTGACTACATTTTCTCGTCAGTTTAATCATTCGGTATTCAACAGGATGTGGAGAATCGATTGAGTGTATGAAGTCACGAGGAGCAAATGTAGAGAGAGCTTTCTTGTTGCTGAAAAGATGAAAAAAACTTTCGAGAGATTTTCTGATACAATAATTTATTATTAACTTGCCGATAGGAAATTATTGCTGGAGATGTATTTTTTTATTCAACGAAACATGAAGTAATTTTTTGATAACGTAACGTAACGTAAATCATTCGGTATTCAACAGGATGTGGAGAATCGATTGGGTGTATGAAGTCACGAGGAGCAAATGTCGAGAGAGCTTTCTTGTTGCTGAAGAGTTTCGAGGGAATTTCTGCTACAATAATTTATTATTTTGTTATTTATTATTTATTAATTTATTTATTTTTTATTCATTTTATTTATTTATTATTTTTTTATTCAACGAAGCATGAAAAAGTTATTTGTTTAAATTTATCAAATGAAATTTTACTTTTATGTTTATCGTGTATTTATTCAGGACACGAATCGTTTCATGAGATAATATCAAGAAATCTTTCCGGCAGATAAAAATAAAAAATTAATAAAGTCTCATGATATGAAATTGCGGTTTTTCCCAAAGCGTAAGACACAAAATTTTCATTTTCCAAGATTTCTGCTCAAAACTGTCAAAAATATGTCTTCCTGCGAAAGAAATGTTCAAATAATGTTCCTCTCCATTTTCTTTTAAAGTGCCAAATTATTGAAACATTAATTCAATATTTAACGTGACACGAATCGATTTTGATTGACGTCAAAGTCAAATCTCAAATTTTCGTCAATTATCAATTCACCAACAACAAAAAACCACCAGTATTATTTTTTTTTTCACTCAATACCGACAACTCTAGATATCGTAAATTTAACCAGTTTAAAACAAATTTCATTTTTGTGAAAAAAGTTGTAAAAAAAATCCTACAAACAATTGCACAATCTTCGCAAATAGATCGCATAAATTTCACGGAATGGATGAGTAAATTCCTCAGAAAAGTCGATTAAACTCATCAATGGTTTATCGTCGCTGCTATAACGGTGAAAGGCAACTTTTACTACTGGCCGATCAGGTGTCGATCTATACCTCTTGTTTTACCTCCACTACCTGCCGCCGGCTCGTGCCGGGCTATCGCGTGATACATAGCTCGGGTCATACATCCATCGAGCCAATTTCAAAAGACAAAGAAACTAACAAAGATCGATAGTGGAGTTTAGCTCGTGTAAAGACTTACTATTTCGCTGAGTCGTTGAGCTGATACTCGTTACTTCTGCCAAAACACTGCTGGACACCGTTGTCCGCCCACAACCTCTTCATGGCTGCCAACAGTTCTTCACTGAATGGCTCTGTATCCTCCATTCGTTGGATCACGTCGAATACCATTTTCGCATCCGTCTGAAAAATTGAAATTGAAAAGATAATAAATTTATAATTCACAGTAATTTACGGTGTGTCGTCTGTATTTCTCCGGGGGGCGGGGGGGTGAAGTGGAAGGGGAGTCTCATTGTTCTCGAGTGAAGATTCAATCCCTGACCACCAAAATTTTCAATTTTCAAATGACTATCTCAGTGTGAATTTGAATCGCGTGAATTTTACTGCACTCTTAAAAAATTTCCATACGGATAGAAATGTTCAGTAAACATTACGGAACTCACAGTTTGCCCACCGATTACGGAATCGACTCAGAAAATTTAAGTGACGGTATCGTAATTTTTCACAGGAGATTCAGGTAAAAATTACGGAACGCTCTGGAAAAATTTCGTGATGTAAGGTAAACATTACGTGACAGTTGCGTGAAATTTGCTACAAACACATTTCGCTTCGGAATTACGGAAAAGATGCGTAATTTTTACTGAATATTTCTCTCCGTGCACTGAAATTTCCGGTAAGTCTTGGGAATTTATAACAAGTAACATTTCCACTAAAATTTCAGAGAATTTTGTTTTGAAAATTCGTAATTTTAAGTGGAATTCCCTGGGAACTGTAAATTTTAGTGTAATTATTCCGGAGAAATTGAGGGGAGACTTCTACGAGTTTCAAAAGTCGCGGGCTATTGGAATGAAATGAGTAACTAGTGCAAAAAAATTGATTATTTATTGTTCTCTTGCCCCGCAGACGCTTAAATTTGACAAATAGTCCAGGGCATCCTAGTCTCCCCTTGATGAATAATTAGAAAAATTCAGAGAAATTTCTCCCTGAATTCCAAATTGCCTCTCGCTCTTCAGAGAATTCCTTCAAATGTTCCTGGAGTTCCAAAAATTTCAAATGAATTGCCTGGAAATTCAATGCAGTGATCAATGCTCAATAGTCAATTAGTAGTTCAAGTAGATTTTGACAATTAGTCAGTTTTCAGTGAATATCTTGAAATCTAAGGCGGAAAGAAAAATTTTTGTCATAACCTTTTATGTAGCGAGAATTAAGGGCTACAAAAAAGGTTATTACAAAAATTTCGTTATCTCCCTTAAATTGCGAGATATTCCTCGAAAACTCAGCCAAGGGCTAAGCCGACTTGAACTCAGTAGCGCAGTGGTAAAACGGTACAAGTCAATTTTGACTAATGACCAGTTTTCAATGAATATCTCGGAATCTAAGGGAGATAGCAAAATTTTTGTCATAACCTTTTTTCTAGAGCCTATTGAGTGCTACAACAAATGTCAGTACGAAAATTTCACTATCTCCCTTAGATTCGGAAATATTTCTCAAAAACTCACCTGGGAGATAAGTCGACTTAAACCGATTTACCATTTCGCTACTGAACTGTTTTACCGCTTTGCTACTGATATCTCGTAATGTGCTTCAGTGCACGGAGAGAAATATTCAGTAAAAATTACGGAACTCACAATTCGCTTACCGATTACGGAATCGACTCAGAAAATTTAAGTGACGGTATCGTAATTTTTCACATGAGATTCAGAAAAAAATTACGGAACGCTCTGGAAAAATTCCGTGACAGTTCCGTAAAATTTCCTACAGCCACATTTCGCTTCGGAATTACGGAAAAGATACGTAATTTTTATTGAATATTTCTCTCCGTGTGATGACCTGGTTGAAGGCAGTTGAGGAATGATGGTTCCCAGTGAAGGGCATTTTTCGTGATATCCTTGGCATTGCTTATCACTTATCGCCACATTCAACGGCGAGAGGCATGGGGAAACTCCAGCCCGCATTTTATTGGCGGAGTGTCAAAAATATCCGGAAGGTCATTCACTGGTACGGCAGAAGTTATCCAATCGTGCTCGTCATCATTCCTCACTTTTTCATGTGAAAATGATCAAAAAATTCGAATTTCAAGAATCAAATCCCTTTTTTCAGTCTAAAAAAACTAACTTGAAACTTTACCATTTTTTCTCCCTCGTGTTATCATTCATTAATTACCGTCAATGTTCCAGTTAATGACAGTAGAAGCTTTCTGTGTCTTTAATGAAGGTCAAATAATTACAATTTTTTCCGTAACGGTGGGGGTTGTGCCGGTAAGTGCCGTTTTTTGACAGATTGCGGACACTTTGTTGTTTAATTTTGAATGTTTTTAATTGTGCGCTTACGATCATTTTTTTCTGGCTTGAGGAGTAGACGATTCTTGAATTTTTAATTTGTTTACACTTCCTCAGAAATGATTATTTCGCTCATCACCCTTCCCACCAATAACAGTGCACTATTCCAATTTTATTTTATACACGGAGAGAAAAATTCAATAAAAATTACCAGAAAAAAAACGTACAAATTACGTTTCGAAACGTAATCCCCGAGCGAAGTAAAATTCAATAAAAAGTGTGAGTCGGAACTGAAATTGTACGAATCGTCACATAAATTCTACGATTTGTTCCGTAAAAATTAACGACCCGTCTGATGACTCTCCGCTGTGGGGACAACAAGTCGTTCCGTAATTTTTCCCCAACGATTGAGAAATTTTACGGAACGGAACGTATAAATAACTCGCCAGCTCCATAAAAATTATTGAACATTCAAGAATTTTTTATTTTGGAGGCATAATAAGTCGGGAATTTTCTTAAAGATTTTACTTCTTCGGGAAAAATTACGTAACAATTTTGTGCTTTGTTCGGTGATGAACCTGAAAATTCACTGAATGTTTCAGATTTCTTCTCTTCCATTCCTATAAAAATTTCCGGAAGACGATTCCTCTTTGCGGATTAGGGAAATTGTTCCGTAATTATTACTGAATATTTACTTAAATTCAAATTGATAATCACTTGAATAGGTTGAAGTTTAAGAGTGATGTTACCTAATTAATGGCTTCGAAACTTAATGATACTTATGATTTATGAATATGGCTATGGCACAACCCGAGTTGAAATTCAAATTAGGATAGAATAAGAGACTGACCAGTGAAAACTGATTTTGCTCAATTTTGGATCAGAAATGTAACGTTTGTTTGGGTCCATGCCTGGTCAAAATTCTAGGATTCGATCATCCTGAACAGTACCGGATCCGATACGGATCCAGTCGAGATTTGACTGATCAGAATATGATTACAATTCACTCCGCCACAATGGATACAGATACTCCATTCAGAATCTCATCAGATCCTGATCCGAAAGTCTAATCAATAAATTCTGACCAGTATTGAACCTAAAACTAATGTAGTTCCAAGCTAACTGAGTAAAATTTCCACTCGGGAATTCTATTTATCGAAATAGTGAAGTGGGGAATAATCCGCCGAATTTCTTGTACACAATCGAAAGCGTCAAGTTTCGCAGGGAAAATGCCTCGCGCAAGCTCTCGGGGTATTATAACCGATAATTTTCATCCAACTTGTCTCGACGTGCACTAATCAAAATCGACTTAAACCGGTTGTACCGCTTCGTTGCTGACTTACTCTTCCCTAGAAAATAAAGCTCCGAATAATCATCGCGACAGCCAACAAAATACGACAATGACCTCATTAAAAATCTGCGGCGCGTTAATTAACTCTCAAGAAACATTTCTTTTCATTCTCTCTCATCAGCCTGAAACGATGGATTCTCCGACTGCAGCGAGTAGTCCCCGTCTGCTCCACTGAATGCCTCATTCATAAGATAATCGTTGAAGCGTGTCAAACTGCATCCACATTGGTGCGCAATACCCGCTGATACTCCAGTTGAAGCAAATGAGTAATCATTTGGTTTCGCACGCATAATAATCAATACTAGATTAATAACGTTGTGGCATTAAATAAGGTGGTTGAAATCACGGGCGCGTGGACATTGAATAGCGACAACGGAGCATTCCACTTGGAATTAATGGACAACTTCTGGATCAAGACGCCATCGATTTTCTGTTATCTTCCCTCTTAACACGTTAAAACGGTCGAAGACCTTTACCCGCCCTGGCAACCTCGACCGTGTACTCGCGCAAGGTAATTATTTCCCTCACCTGTTGCAGTTGCGCGCCTCGCCAATGCGATTTTACGATCGCTGATGTCTCGGCTATCGATGATCGTTAGTCATCGAGTGATTGGTTATTATTATTGCTGGGTGACCTTGAAGGTAAGTCTCGCGGAAATACTCATTTCTGCATCGGAATGGAGGCATTGTATTCGTCAGATCCGAAATTCCTAATTTTTTGAGTCAGGATAACGAATTTTGAGATACACGTGCTGGTAGTTTGAAATTTTTATTTGTAGTTGAAAAGTAGTGATGCCGTCGAGACTAGACGAGAATTATTTTGGAAAGATCATCACGGTCTAAAAAAACATCGAAAGTTTAGGAATCGTCGTAATCTCGAAAGACATTGGATCAGTGCATCTCGTCGCGAACTTGGAAGAATCCATCACGTCTCAGTTTCAGTATTTTCTGTTTTTCAAATGTTTGTCTCGATATCTGTCTCGTCTCGCGAACTTAAGGGTGCCAAGTGAATTTGGCGATGACCTTGAGAATTGACATTCACCAACAAAGTTATAATTTTTTTAATTAATAGCATTAGACAGATGGTGAACATCGGTGACAATTTTAAAATTTTAGAACTTATGGATATCGAGAAATTAAATAAACAAAATCAGTCTTATACACGGCCTCTTATGGAGTTTTGATTAAATTGAACGTTTCAACCCCCTAGGAACTCAAGAAAAATTTGAAAAAATTTGAAGATATGGGGAATGATGTGTTCAATGTGATGGCGACAAAAAACAATGGGGTACCGGGGTGAATAAGAGAGATATTTCAGCCCGCCGTATCCATTTGATCCCATGCTTTCTCGATGTTCGTCACGCGAAATAGAGGATTTTCCGCATTTATTTTCTCGATGTCTAGTTCCGGTTGCGGGTTTGAAATTTCGTCGGATGGATGAATACATATTTCTCCAATGATGGAGGGAAAGAAAAAAATATTTTTGAATCTTTTTTCAAATTCACGTGGCACCCGGTTTAAAAAACCGAAACTCGAAATCCAGGCAAGATAAATCCTCTCAGAATTGTGACGAGATGCACCGATCCAATGTCTTTCGAGATTGCGACGATTCCAAAACTTTCGATGTTTTTCCAGACCGTGATGATCTCTTCAAAATAATTCTCGACTAGTCTCGACGGTATCACTACTGAAAAGTAAGGGTCCAATCCATGTTTGGAAGACAATAGGGAACTGGCATGTTTTCTTATTATTTTTTCTTCTCAAATACAGCGTTAAAAAATTACTCCTGAAATTTCAAGTAAAAAATCCCGAAATTTTTAACAATCACTTATTCATACGAAATTTTTATGTATTTTGTTTTTGAAAAATCTGGTGAATTCTGGAGTATTCAATGGAACTGTAATTTTCAGGTCTACATGATAATGAAAATTATTAAATAATTTGAAAATTCGAAATGTCATTGATCCTAAATTGAATTCAAATTCACAACATTGAAAATTGAAGTGCAAGTTCTGCTTGATTTTCAAAAAATTTCTGACAGTGTATATGCCCCCAATAACCCATAGTGGATAAGGAAACGCACGGAAAATAATAATTATTTATTTGCCCACGTTAGTAATAATTTTCATCTTTCCATCGGGGCATCCTAGTGAGAAATGAATGTCTGAAAATTACTTCTTGTAACATTACGCTCAGGAAAGAAACGTGATCGTGTGAACTTTGATCGAGATGTTGCAGGAGTTAGACACTCAAGATATTGAAAAAAAACCACAAGCCATTTACTTTAGACTATGGAGAATCTATAGCCGGCGAGAACAAGTAGGGGACCAGGCCATAGGCATGATACCTTCGATTGACTTTCGAATTCCTCTAAAAAAATTTGACCGCCATTATGAGTCGAGCGACGCGACAACACCGCACAACAGCTGATCGAGGTCGGTAAAGTCAGTGACGATAATTCAGTGCTGGAAGCATATGCACACGTATAACACACACAAACATTCGTCTCACTGTTACAACCCCACTACTAGCCGAAGCGTGCGATGTTGCCCGATCAAAATTCGACTGTTACCACTGCAGTCACAAGTCCTCCATTATCTATGGACATTTTCTTCAATTATTATTTTTGAGACCAGAAAACTACGCCATAACACTTTTAATGTGATGAGAAATATAATTTGTAACATGAATGATTTATTTAGTCAGATTTATTTTTCTTTTCAACTGAGTTCTCCACTTCATAGGTTACATTAAAGACGGGAATTTATATAGCGTTCCACATCTTTGTGGCGTCATAGGAAATGATTAGATGGCATTTTTGGGTGAGGTACACGGAGAGAAATATTCAATAAAAATTACGTATCTTTTCCATAATTCCGGAGCGAAATGTGGTTGTAGGAAATTTTACGGAACTGTCACGGAATTTTTCCGGAGCGTTCCGTAATTTTTACCTGAATCTCGTGTGAAAAATTACGACACCGTCACTTAAATGTTCTCGGTCGATTCCGTAATCGGTGAGTGAAATGAGAGTTCCGTAATTTTTACTGAATATTTCTCTCCGAGTAGGAGGGGAACCGGGATTATACTCAATACGAATAATCAGAAACATTTTTTTAGTGAAAAAATGGATAGTTCAGATCGGGGTTTGAACCCGGGACCTTCCGATTATGCATCGGGTGCTCGCTCAATCCATCCAATTCTCCCAAGCCCCCCCCCCTTCAAGGGGGGTTGAACATCCTTAAAGACGTGTCTACGTAAAAAAATCATGAGTATTCTTACCTCTCTCTCATTCGTCGAAAAGCTAATCCCTAAAATGGGCATTGCTCTAAGAATGGCGACTAGAGATTGTATCGTATTGCTGTAAACCACGGGTCTGTACTGCTTGAAGTCTTCCGGCGTGAACCCACTCTCGTGAATAATCCTGAAAACAAGTAGCAGAGTATTAGAATCCAAGTCTCTGCTCTTCGACAGCACAACGCATCATTTACCCCCATGGAAAAATATATAAAAAATATATAGATATAATATAGGCGAATTTAATATATTCTTTGAATATATATAAGATTTATATAAAATATAAATTTATGTATGGTTCATAAATATGTTATATAATTTTTATATATGAATCAGGCCCATTCCATACATAAAATATATAATTTTCAGAATATGAATTTTTCCGTTTAGGTATATCGGTTTGTTAACTCTTTCTTTGACTCATTTTCTCAATGATTTTCTTCTAAACGTTATGCTTATAGGGCAACATAAAAATAATTCTAATGATTTTTTTTCTTCAATTCCAATAATATAATTAGTTTTTGAAACATTCAATGGGAATAATTCCCCAAAAATCGTTCTCTCGAACTACTCGATCGATCTGCACAGGAATTTTTTTTTTTTTTTCATTTTTAGGAACATGCTCTTGGTTGCCAGGAATATTTCCCTGAAAATTAGGGACGATGTCCCTGAAAGCTGACGATGTGACTAATCTACTCCCTAGTTTCTATATAAATTCCTCATTTACAGAGAATATCGTCATTCTCAAAGAAACAAATCTTGTTTTTGATTGTCAGGGACATGTCAATGAGTTTTAGAAATTTATCAACAATTATTGGTGATACTGGATGCTGACTAGAATAACCCTGATCACTAGTGATTACAAGGGGAGGGTGGGGTAAAATGGACACTTTAGACTTTTTAAAAATTAGTCATAACTCAGAAACAAATTTATCAATTGAGCTCAGTTTAGGCTCGTCACAAAGGGAAAGAGTTGTTCTTTGTATTGAAAAAAAATTGTTAAATTTTATCAACATTTTAACCCCTCATTAACATTTTTAAAAAAATCAAGTGTCCGTTTTACCCCAACCTCTCCTATCACTGAAAATTTAGTGATCGATTCCTAGAAATTAGGGATGGTCCCTGGACCATCCTTAATTTCTGTGAAATGAAAATTCGTGACGATATCACTGAAAATTAGCGATCATTTTCGATTGAAAAAAGCGCTGAATTCCAGACTTTTCTCTTTAAATTTCACAATCGCGAATTCTTAATAATTGGGGATAGACTCTCGAAAATTAGTAACATGTCCCTCACAGCAAAAACGAATGCCTGAATTTCACACACTTTTCGTAGACATTTTTCAGACACTAAAAACGTTTGCATAAAATGAAAATTTGTCTGAATTTCAGGCGAACTGGTGCCTGAACATGTTAAAGTAGTATGGTCACGGATCGATTTCCACGATTAAAATATGAAATAATTTTTTTATGAAAGTTAATATCAATAAAAACCTCCTGGTGCAATTTGTGGTACATTGATCGTTTAGTATGGTTGATAAGAATTAATGAAAAACTAGATTTTAACACAGAGTCTTATGGCCAAATCATATTTGTGGGTGGTTTTTAAGATAAATCCAAGATTAAATTGTAAAAAAAATACCAAAAGATGGGAAAAAAACAAAAATTTACAACCATCGATGGAAATTATTGACCGTTTGGGACTTTAGTTATAAATAATTTCTGCTCCTCGGTGTTCGGAAATTGCGTGTCGAGTAGATGCGGCAACGACGCGTTAGTGGAGTGGGGACAAGCGGGCATTTCAAATCTCGTTTTCCCTACGCTGTTAAGTTACAGCGTTGCCACACAAAAAACGACGCTAGTCAAAGGAGGTACATTATTTGACTAATAAGTGAAAAATAATAAAAATGATCGATTAAGTCTTATATTCATAAATTTTATAATTGACAAAGAGAATTTTCAATTATAAATCAGTTTTTTGATTAATTTTTTTAGATTTTCTTGACGGACACTCAACGATTACTTTGGAAAGTGACCATAATACTTTAAATCATGTTTGAAATTCAGATAAATTTTAATTTTCTTCAGACGTTTTTTAGTGTCTGAAATGTCTATAAAAGGTGTGTGAAATTCAGGCACTCGTTTTTGCTGTCCTAATAATTAAAGATAGATCCCTGGAAACAATGGCTCCTCCCAGAAGATCAAAACTTTTTCCACCGCATGACTCATGCTAACTAATCAGTCCTAAACCACTGATTTATCTCTTTATAATTCACCATTATTTTCTGAACACACATGTATGCGTACCCAAAAAAATTTTCATGATTGAACCGCTTCCACCCGGAAGTTGAAAAAGATACAAGACTAAAATTTCTGAAAACTTCAGCTGATAAAAATCCTGACACAAGACAGCGAAATCTTTGTCGAGGAAATTTCAATGAAAAGGCTCATTCACAACCAAAGTAACTGAAGAAGAGGAAGTCGATCCAAGAGGCACGTACGTTAGCCAACAAGAGGCGAAAAAGAATCAAAAGAAACAAGTTAACTTACAAAAAAAAAGAGGAGAAAAGAGTAGATGTCGCGTGTCTGTGGGGAGCATGCTTCACAGCTGCTCACCTCAAGTGGTTCTCTATCGTAACGTGTAAATATCGATCTTCACTGAGGATAAAAAGGGGGAACGGGGCAGGCAACAGTTTGTTCTGTTAGAACCAGCCCTGGGTGTGCGGGGTCAAAAGCATAGTACAGGGTCGTCAAATGAAGGCCACTGAAAATTTTATCTTCACCATTCCAACCATTTCTTTCATTCGCATTATAAAAAGTTTATGGGGCATTTAATAGACTAGAAGATTTATTGGCAGTATTGATACTCACTTCATCTGTTTCACTATGGTACTTTTTCCAGACTCGCCGGCACCTGAAAAGATAAAGTATTTTATCAAAAATTGACAAAAACTCGTAGGAATATTGGTGCATAATTTTTTTTGCTGCTTTTTTTCCGGGCCTTTTATTATGCCCAGCTTCCTTTCAGATTCGATATTCCTCTTTTCAATTAAGGTATTTATGGCGGGATGGGCATGTACGAGATGAGACGGAGGGGAATCTATTGTTCTCTCGCAGAAAACCAAACGCTGAACAAAAAAAATGATATTTCAATTACAAATTTTCAATCTATCTCGACCATTTTTATCTTCGAAATATTTTTTTAATAACTTTTCTATTTTTTTCTCACATATTTCAAGCCTTCTTTTATTTTTCTAGCTTGGCTTTTGGATAATTGAAAAATAATTAATGTGGATAGAAAAAGTGACAACGGCGTGCCGCTCGAGGTACAAGTTGGCAGCACTGATTCACTCAGCTGTTACGCTCCTTCCCATAGCAAAATGTATCATCACAACTCCATTCGTATTTGCCGCGCTTATCCCTCCACGATTCCTAATCGGGACGTTGTCGCTATTTCAAGTTGCGCACGCAGAATTCCTAATTTTCCTGAGTTTTTTAATTACTCCTTCTAAACAATTCTCCTAGGCCACTTGAATTATTATTTTTATGTTCCTCCATGAAGACTCCACCCAAGTGCAAAATTTCCGGAAAATGACGACTATTTTCTATTTTTAATATTTTTGTTCCCGAGTTCCCATAGAAGCCCGTGTTAAAATGCAGTTTTTGGAAAAATTCCTGTGTTTCACCCATTCTCCTAGGCTATCTGGGATTTTGCATAGGGTTTTTGAAAAAATCGAAGAATGTATGAAAAAAAAATCATCAATTTCTTGACTTTTTTTCGACCCTCCCTGACCTCGCCATAAATACCTTAAGGATATCCAAGGATTTTTATAATTTTTTCTCCAGTGAAATGCTTTTCTATTATTGTAGTCGAACATCAGAGCTTTCATTTAAGCCCCATTTGACCCTAAGTTTCCGGATATTTTACAATAATTTTGTTATTTAAACTTTACAGGTCTAAATTTGAATCTCGATATTGAATCGCTAGAAAACATTTTAAAAATCTGAAAAGAAATTTGAAAGTTTACGGGAGATTGATGAAATAATTTAAAAAATGTAATTCCGTGATTAGAATATTGTTATCTCGTGTTTTCAGTACCAAATTATAGACCAAAACTTAATTTGGAATATTGAGTCGCAACTTCTTCTTGTTCATACGAGAAATTTTGGATTTGGGTAGTAATATATTATTTGTTCAAAGTGAAAAATTAATTAATTTAATTAAAATTAATACAATTAATGCAAATTTTCGCTAATTTAAAAATATGAAATACAGGTGACGTGTAAATAGAATAAAGACAAATGGAAATGATCCTCTCTAGTGAAATCCCCTCCTTTATTTGTAATTTATACAATTTTTTCTCCCGTGAAATGCTATTCTATTTTTGTAGTTGAACATCAGAGCTTTCATTTAAGCCCCATTTGACCTTAAGTTTCCAGACATTTTACAATAATTTCATTATTTAAATTGCAAGTCTAAATTTGAATCTCGATGTTGAATTGTTAGAAAACATTTTGAAAATCTGAAAAAAAATTAAAAGTTTACGGGAGATTGATGAAATAATTAAAAAAATATAAATATAAATGTAAATGTAAAATATAAAATGAAAATATTGTTATCTCGTGTTTTCAGCACCAAATTAAAGATCAAAACTTAATTTGGAATATTGAGTCACAACGTCATCTTATTCATACCAGAAATTTTGTATTTGGATATTATTTGTTCCAAATGGAAAATTGATTAATTTAATTGAAATTGAGGCAATTAATTCAAATTTTCGCTAATTTAAAAATATGAAATACAGGTGACATATAATTATGATAAAAACAAGTGGAAGTAATCCTCTCAAGTGAAATCTCCTCCTTTATTTGCATATAATTGTGGAAAAAAAACTGGTGAAACACAGCTCGGAAATTTTCTCGGTCCGTAATGTTTTATAAGCGGATATGACGTGACGGGAACTTGCTTTCCTGCTTACCGCAAGCCCTCCCCCTCTTTCAAAGCTCTTTGTTAAGTAGCCGCCTATAATGGGAATCTGGACTTTAATGCGTATTAACTTTCAAAACTGCTCCACTTGTCCCCCCGTTTTTATTTTTATGGGGCTGTGTTCACCTTATCAAAAATTACATTTCGGGATCTTTGGGGCGTGAATAAAGTGGGTGGAAACTCGCGTGAGCTCCAAGGAGGTCAGATACGTGTTATTCCACAGAGCATACGTCATTTGATAGATATTAATTGTTACTTTTTGTGATTACTGATGAACAATTTGTTGTTCCCACCCTCTTGTTGATCACAATTTTCATCAGACTTTTTGGTAAACAAAAATTGAATTCTTTTAAAATTAATTCAGATGGGTTTTCTCATCCGCTGTTGCACAGGGAAAGAAATGTTCAGTAAAAATTACGGAACTCCGAATTCACTCAGCGATTACGGAATCAACTCAGAAAATTTAAGTGACAGCGTCGTAATTTTTCATCGGAATTTCGGATAAAAATTACGGAACGCTGTGGAAAAATTCCGTGACAGTTCCGTAAAATTTCCTACAACAACATTTCGCTCCGAAATTACGGAAAAGATACGTAATTTTCATTGAATATTTCTCTCCGTTAAGCTATTTTTTGTTGGATAATATGGAGATATGAGAGTTGCAGGTATTCCACGTCATATTTTTTTTTGTTATTTCGCTTTTTTTTAATAACTCCAGTTCTATTCATCCGATTTTTATTTATGACAAGTCCAAATCAGACATCGGCATAATCGAAATTTTGAATTACAGTTGAATTTTGAATAAATCAATTGGTAATATTACTCACCGATTTTTTCATTAACGCAATAACCGTCCATTTAAATTTTCAAATTCCGAATTATTTTATCAACCAATAATTGAGAAATCAAATTACCAATTATTATATTATTTTTCAAATTTCAGTTATGAGAAATAAATCTTAATTACTGCAAGGCGCAACTTCTCATAATATTACTGAAATAATGATTGATGCCGATCTATGGTCACAGTTTTCGATTCTCTATCATCTATAAGAATATTTTGAGAATTTCTTTTTCAATCCCTAGGTGTTCATAATACCGAATTGTGAAAAAAAGTTGAAATACTTGAATTTTCAAAATTATGTCACGTTTTATTTTTCTCGTCTTTTTTTTAGTAACTAGGCGGGACGCGCGCTTTGCGCCCGCTAGTCAGGTTGCATAAGATCAATATGTGTCGTCATTTTTAACCCTAGTTTGGTCACCATATAAGAACTTGCGACTTGATCACCTCCGCAGGGAATCGCCACCGTGTTATTTAGGCCCGAGCGTTGCCGAATTCACTCTATACTGCCCGGGCGCGTTTAGCGAGACTTCGGCAACGTCGCACAACGGGCAATTGCATTTAACATGGGAAAAAATTGCCCGTCTGTTAGAAATAATTATTTTTCTTCAGGAATTGTGGATATAAATAATTTTTAAAAATATTATAATTTTCTAGGCACTTGAATTGACGCATTCCATTTTTTTAAGGAATTTTCCGCTCAGCCAGTCAATGGTAAGAAAAAAAAATCGACCTTCTGCGGCGTTTCCCTCCTATAGTGACCAACTAGGGTTAAAATTCTAATGTCCTTGATTATCGCGCTTTTACAATAATAAATATCCTTTGAAATGGTATATGAATAGTTCAGTTCACTTGATCAAGAGTTATAGAAAAATCCAAACCAAGCTGAATTTACAATAGACATTATGAATTTCGGGGAAAAATCAAAGAGAACAGTAAATTTCAGTTTCATTTTACCACGAAAATGAATAGAAAACCAGAAAATTCCGGTAAATATATTCTTGAATTTTCAGGACAGTGACACTGAATGCGATTTAGGGGTAAAAAAATTATGGAATTTCAGATTTCACTGAAAATTCAAATAAATTAACGAATTCTTGTCTAAATCGCATTCAGTGTCACTGTTCTGAGAATTAGTAGTCAGCTGTCCATGGAATTTCATTTTTTTTTCGAAGAGTGAAGAATCACGTAGAACAGTACGGAAATTTCCCACCGCCGCCATGCACTCCCAATAGCCTTCAAAATCGGATGAAAATACTCCAATGAAACTCCGTTCCCTGACGTCATGGTAACAACAATAAATTACAATGCACATCGATATGATTTTTCCATTGAAAAAAAGGTGGAAACAAACTATTCGATCGGAACTGCTCCGCATTTTCCCTCTGTGAAGGATAAAAATATTTATCTCAGTTCACTGCGCTCTAAATATAACCGCAATTTCGTTTCAACTTCCCATTCCCGGGGGCCCATAATTGAGAAAACAAACTGATGGTTAAATCATATGGGCATTTGAGAGCCCCAGAAAAACATTTAAATAGTGAGAGATAAATTTCATTCGTTATCTTGAGAAAAAAATGCATGTTTGGGATTGTTGGGTGGTGTGAACAGATTTGTCACAACCGGAAGGACTCGACCCTTGGGTCTCAGCGACATGTGGCAACAATATGTGCACTTTAAAGTTGGGAGATTCGAGACTTTCGAAAATCTCAGAATGTCAATAAATAAGTTGTCATTTTTTTTTTTGAAAAAGTTGTTTCATGAGAAGGATGTTGACATTGAAGAAGACAAAATTGGAGAGGGTTTTCAGTCATTACATTCATCAAGTGAATTGCGTGAGAGAAATCTGCAAGAATTCAGTAGCGAAGTGGTAAAATGGTACAAGTCAATTTTGACTATTGACAGTTTTCAATGAATATCTCGGAATCTAAGGGAGATAACAAAATTTTTGTTATAACCTTCTTTGTAGACTCGATTGAGATCTACAACAAATGTAATAAGAAAATTTCGCTATCTTCCTTAGATTCGGAGATATTCCTTAAAAACTCAACTGGTTTGTGAGTCGACTTAAAAATTACAGAACAATTCACGTAATCCGCAATGGGGAATCGTTTTCCGGCATTTTTTATAGGAATGGAAGAGAAGAGATCTGAAACGTTCAGTGAATTCTCAGGTTCATCACCGAACAAAGTACGAAATTGTCACGTAATTTTTCCCGAAGAAGTCAAATCTTGCAGAAACTTCCCGACTTATTATGCCTCCAAAATCAAAAATTCTTGAACGTTCAACAATTTTTATGAAGCTGGTGAGTTATTTCTACGTTCCGTTCCGTAAAATTTCTCAATCGTTGGGGAAAAATTACGAAACGACTTGTTGTCCCCATAGCGGACAAGAAAAAAAACCCGTCACCCGACGGGTGAATCACCCGTCGAAAAAACCCGTCCTCCGCAAGCCCTCCCCAACAACAATAATAAACAATAATTTTGTGTCGAAATTTGCGAGCTGGGTTTTTCGTCACCCGTCTGGTGAATGATCAGACGGGTGGTTAATTTTTACGGAGCAAATCATAGAATTCACGTGACGATTCGTCCAATTTCATTTCCGACTCATACTTTTTATTAACTTCTCGATCTATAGGGAAGTTATTGTAATGACCCCGAAAATCGAAAGTGGAAATTTCACGATATATCCACGTTTCATAACCCCTAGAATCTTTCTATGACGTTTCCAAAGACATTTCTATGTGTGTGTGTGTGTATGTATATCTGTGAACAAATTTTGTGCTACGATTTCTGTTAAATACACGATGAGAATCCAATTTGCTTTATGACCATCGACGCGCTTCGATGGGACTTAGACCTGATTAAATTATGAACAAAATCGTCTCAGCGGTTCGTTAATTATTTAAATAAAACTTCAAAAAAAACTATCATCGAATTTTTGTGCTACGATTGCACTTGGATAAAAGATGAGAATCAAATTTTCTCTGTGCCCATCGATGCGCCTCAATGAGACTTGGACCTGATTAAATTTTGAGTTGAATCGTTTCGGCGGTTTGTGAATTATACAACTGAAACTAAAAATAAAAATTTGTCGATTTTTTTTGCCAGTCGATTACCGTGCGAATAATGTTTTTTTCGGAATCTGGGTAAATTACCCCATTTAGAGTAAGAAAACAGATGACTGTTTTCCGAATATTTCTGACAATGACTAGTGTTGCGTATAGCCTACGCTACATTCACTGTGGCATGGCCCCAGTGTTTATTAAATCTGCGAAGAAACTTTCCTTCTATAGGTATTTCCCCAGAGAAATGTGAGAAAAAGATTGAATAAATACATAATAAAAAAAAAGTAATGAAAGAAAAAACAAATGGTCGGGAAGTTATTGGTTCGACCCGTAATGGGTCACACCCAATTCCACCATCCCCTACTGGTTATACCCCAAAGATTGATTTTTGAATATTACTTCGCTCGCGGATTACGTTTCGAAACGTTAATTTTTATTGAATTTTTCTCCGTGTGAATAATCAGCATTACGACATTTAAAATGCACATGCTTTTTAATATCTTGAATGAATAAATTCCATTTGTTAATTTCCGATAAAAATATTGCTGAAGTGTATCGCAAAATTTGTTCACCAAAAATTCTTCAAACATTTTCAAATCTATGTTTAGTTAATAATGTAATTGAGAAATTAATTCCTTCTTAATTCGAATAAAGACGTAATTAGTTATGAAGTCCGGAAGTCATGAAGTCATCGGTCAGAGGGAGAGCTGAACGAATTCATTACCGTGCAATAATTATTTGCTTAGAATTATTTAATTAATTATGAAAGCGACAGAATAAAGAGATAAATGATGACAAAGCATCTCTGCAGAGTGAAAAAAGTTTTGATTTCCAGAGAGTGATTGTTGTCACAGATTTTCAGGAATCTATTCCCAATTATTAGGGATTTGCGATTGGGATAATAATTCACACCCAGGAAAATGGTGCATTTGAACAAAATAAATCCCCCATTAGAATCAAATAAATGATTTACTTGATTAAAATAAAATTTATTTAATTCGAATAAACCATTTTTCCGCATGTAGTGATTTTATACTAATTGTTAGTGACTTTATCACTAATTTCCCGCGATATCGTCACTAATTGTCCGGGAGCCGTCTATATTTTTGCTTCAAAAGGTAACAAATGGAAGCTTTGTTGTGGAAGTTTTGTCCAATTTAAGTTTTTAAGCTACCCAGTAGATGGACACTGCCCTGTAGATGGACGAGCTACTTTTGGATAGGAAATTACGCAAAAAATACTGAAATGTGAATTGTTGCTTTGAATTTTCACTAACTGTTGTGATTCTTAACCCCTGAGTGACGATTTTTTTTCGATCAATTTTTTTTTCAATTGCTAAAAAACAAACGTCCATCTACTGGGCGGTTTTCTTAGGCGTCCATCTACTGGGCAGTTTACCCTATATCGAACCATTATGATCCAAAAAGTCAGAAAATGCAATTTTTAGACCTCGTCCGTACATGTGTGTTTTTCTTCAATTGTTCGCTAACGAATGGGTGGAATTGAATCTTTTTTTCAAATGTAGGTATTGTTGAGCTCTGTCAATCGCCATTAATTAAAATTTAATTCATCAATTAGTTTTCTTCATTTTCGATTTTTTCGAAAATCGCGTTGCCCCACGATAAATAAAAAAGAATGTTCTGAATTGATTAAATGATGGCTTAAACAATTTGTTTGGATGTCCGTTTGACCGAGTTCGAAGATGAAGGCGATAGCAATAATCGTTATTTTGATTTATTGGAAAATTTGCAAAAATTTTTTTTTTGAAAATCAGAATTCCGGGGATATCTTTGAATATCATGCTGCAAATAAATTCAATCATGGCTTAAAATGTTTGTTTTAATGCCATTTAGTCGAAGTTAAAAGATCATTACGATAGCTGTATTGGTTGATTTGATTTTTACGCTGTTGAAAATTTTGAATTTTTCACGAATTTCCCTGAAAGTGAGCGTTCTGATGGTTTCTTCAAATGTGATGTTTCAAATTCACTCAGGTAAGTATAAGTAAAATTTGTCCATTAACATTTTATCGAAGGGCCGAGAACTGAAGGGGATAGAACTGTAAAAAAGACAATCGGTTGTACAGAAGAAAGGGATAATAAGAATAATGGTGATGATAACATTCCACTAATTTAAAAATCTGAAAAAAATGGTCAAAAAGAAACCCCATTCAATTTAATAAACTGAAATAAACAATGACATTGCTGACAATCAGAGACATGTCCCTGAGAATCAAAGGCCATCTCTGTATAGATCAACTTTAGTGAAAATAAATACAAAATGATCGACGGCGACGGCCGTGTGGTTAGAGCGCGAGGTTGGCACGCGGACGCTCGAGTTCGATTCCCGGTGGAGGGCCAAAATGATTTTTTAACGCTCTAATTTTCACAGATTCATTGTCCGAGCGGGAGTCTCGCAAGGGACGACTGTACCTGGTCAAGGTTTTTCCCTCAAGGGAGGTTCTTCCTTGCTCGAAGATAACTATTCAATAAAAATTAGGTATCTTTTCCTTAATTCCGGAGCAAAATGTGGTTGTAGGAAATTTTACGGAACTGTCACGGAATTTTTCCGAAGCGTTTCGTAATTTTTATCTGAATCTCCGGTGAAAATTACTTCCGGTAAATTCAAAGATTATTGAAAACTGCAAAAAAATTACAGAAAACTCGATTAGATTCGGAATTCCAATTTTTTTTCTCAATTTAATGATCGTTTTGGTTTTTCAAAGAAGAAATGTTTATAAATCAGGATTTAACCCAATGGCTTATGTGAAAATCAACATTTCCATTGTAATCAAAGATTAAAATCTGATTTTTTTTGACACCTCATAAAAAATAATCCACCATTTTGCAAACAAGTTTTATTATTTATTCATAAGAGGAAATTTTTAGGAAAAATATCAATATTTTGCGAAATTTCATTTAGACAATACTGACTGGGTATGAATTTTTTCAAATTTTTTCCATGCAATTTAGTTGAAAAATTAAAAAACTGAAAATATCCAAAAGTACAGCCTAGCCCGGCCGAAGGGTAGAGCTACTATAAATTTTCTGAGTCGATTCCATAATCGGTGAGTGAATTGTGAGTTCCGTAATTTTTACTGAACATTTCTCTCCGTGTGGCCCCCGGCAAGTATGGTGCAAGGGGTTGGGGGGGTGGGAAGGGAACAAATGGTAAAAAGCCGCGAGGACATACGAAAGAACAAAAAATAAATACAAAATGACATCTTACCAAGCAGCAATAGCTTGATATCCTTGGCAGCCTGTATTCCATCCTCCTTCAAATTCTTCTCGATCTGTTTGCTGCGGGCCAGAGCGGCCCGCTCTTCCGCAGACATGGCACAGCCCATCTTGCTACACGTTGCCTTCACAAACGCCACCACGCGCCTTTTTATCACTCCTTAACTTTTTCTTTCCACCCCCTACAACGGGCAAGGCAAAATACCCCCCGCCACCTCCGCACCACTAACACGTTATTATGCAAAAACACTCTTGGATTCACCCACGTGAAACCACACACGCGCACTCTCACCCACACACTATTTTCCACACTTCTATTCCCGATGTTTCTCCCTCCCCTATTATTTTTCTATTCTTTATCACTAACCCTTCTGTAAAAGGAAGCGCGCGTTATGCACGCACACCACCTGACTACCGCCGCACACAGTGCCCCCTCGAACAATCGCCTGACGCCGCCACCCTTAAAACGATCTCCGAACTACTGTCAATCTGAAACAAATTAATTTTGACTTCATTAAGTTTTTATTTCGACGTTGACATGTGGTATTTGTTGTTTGGTTATCGAAGAGCCGACAGTCTAGGCCAATTATGTCGGCAAATAAAACAAATATACCCTAATTTATATTTATTTAGCAATTCTAGGTAAGCATGTCAAAGGATCTTTTCCAGTTTGGCGCAGACCGCACTATGGATTCAACCATTTTCAATCATCAAATTCGCCAATTAAATTGCGTGAGAAAAATTCGATGAAAATCATTAATATTCAGCGTCATTCAAGTTACATTTTGAAGGAATTACTATTTGTTTAAACATTCGCTGTTTATAAATGAATAATTGAAATTGTTTCGAAAACCCTATTTTTTTAAATATAAAATTGATTTCTGGTAAAATTCTGATTATGCATAAATTTGTTATGATTATGAACAAATGATTTTGATGGTGGAAAATTGATTGCTCATCTATTATTTACAGAAAGTACTCGAAATTTAAATTTTTAAATTGTTTTATCAATCTTCTTCAAAACGTAAACTTTCTAATTTTTTTTCAGACTTTAAAAATGTTTTCTAACGGTTCAATATCGAGCATCAATATTCAACGTCATTCAAGTTACATTTTGCCCAGAATTATAATTTGTTAAAAATTCGCCGTTTATAAATAAATAATTGAAATTGTTTCAACTTTCGAAAACCTAATTTTTTTAGATATGAAATTGATTTCTGGTAAAATTCTGAAAATGAATAAATTTGTTACGATGACGAACAAATGGTGGAAAATTATTAATTTTATGGTGGAAAATTGATTGTTTATATATTATTAATAGAAAGTGCTCGTAATTTTCAAAAATTTAAATTTTATAAATTATTTCATCAATCTTCCTCAAAAAGTAAACTTTCTAATTCGTTTTTTAGATTTTCAAAATGTTTTCTTACAATTCAATATCGAGCATTAATATTCAACGTCATTCAAGTTACATTTTGCCCAGAATTATGATTTGTTTAAAAAATCGCTGTTTATAAATAAATAATTGAAATTGTTTTAACTTTCGAAAACCTAATTTTTTTAGATATGAAATTGATTTCTGGTAAAATTCTGACTACGAAGTCTGATTTCCAAAGTCTGAGCCTCCAAAAATTATTTATTAAAATAAATAAACTATTTCGGTAATTTCCAACAAAAAAATTGTTGATATGAGTAGAGAAAATTAAAATAAAGAGTTTTATTTGGTTCACACGTCATTTCTCCGGGTGCACGTAAAAGTCAAAAATAAAATCAAAATCGTTGATTTCTGGGCGATGCTCATTTTTTCACCCTCATCATAAAACTCAATAAAAAATTCAACGGAAACATAAATTTATTTTGGATGCTGCGAAGAAAGAGAGCGTTTAATTCTTCCAAAAAAACGTCCCTCGAAAATATCTCGGAATCGGTGGGAAATAAAGACATTTTCATTCAAATTTTCATTCGAGTTCGCGTCAACGATTTGCAACAATTCAAAAACGGTTGGGGTACGATGAGCAAACGAATTTATCACATTCTACCTCGTCAATAAGGGGTACGTTCCTTCCGCTATTTTCGTGCGTTTTATAACCCGGAAAGAGGGCGGAAGGGGAAGAGAGTGGGCGGTAGGTATTCTGGAAAGTTTGGAGGGTTATCAGAGAGTTGATAAAGAACAATCGATTGGATAAAACTGAATTCATCAAGAAATGGGGTATGAAAAAATAGAGGAAACGAGAAATAAATATCGATGGAGCAGGTAATTGTTATCAGATGTCGGAGTTCAAGAGGCCTTTGAATAATAAAACCGTTGAATTATTCAGTTTGGTCTTCAAGTCATAAAATGGGAATTCTCAGCTCCTCGACATCTCAAGAATTAACTGGGAAAATTGATTCAATTGATTGATCGATTGAATTGTGGAGAATTCCGAGGATTAAGGATGTTCTACACCCTTTCTGCCAAAATTCACGTTTTTTTAATTTTTCTGGTAAACTTATGATGGAATTGACGTGAAAAAATATAACGTTTTTGCATTTTGTCATTATTTAATGACTGACGAAATTTTAAGGTAGTGCGAACATTTTCCTGCGTTTTCTCTAAACTTTTAAAAAGAATCACAAAACTGTAGAAAAAACGCATGAAAATTATCGCACCACTACGCGACTTCGTGAGCCATTAAAGAATGAGAAACCACAAAATCGTTATATTTTTTCACGTCACTCCCATCGACAATTGACCAGAAAAATGAAAACAACGTCAGTTTTGGTTAAAGGGGTGTCGAAATTTTGATCACTGAATCTCAAAAAAGGATAACATTATTCTTCGAAATTTTTTCTCAACTTTCCACGCTCTACATCAACCAAGCTTTTCCTCTTCATCATTAGCTGTTACAGCCCTCTTTCTCGAAATTCCCTCCCCGATCAATACCACCCCTATGGAACAATATATCAAAAATATACATAATATAGACCAATTCAGTAGCGAAGCGGTAAACCGCTTCAAGTCGACTTAGCTGCTCTTCGCTGAGTTCTCCAGGGATATCTCCGAATCTAAATTCGGAAATATCCCTTTATAATTTGAATCGAAATTTCCCACCTAAAGTCGTCCTCGGGAGTCGAAACTTCTTGATCAATATTATTGAGCCTCAAAAAAGCGTAAAATTTTCCTTCCAAATCTCTCCTCAACCTTCCACCCTCCTCTTCAACCGAGCTTTTCCTCTTCATCATTACCTGTTGCAGCTCTCTTCCTCGAAATTCCCTCCCTACCCTGAGCCCCCGAAAAACCACCTCACCACCGCCAAAATATCCCAATCAATACCGCCCTCCCCTCGCGTCGCCAAACCCCAAAAAAAATCACCCAACTGACTCCAAACCCCCAAAACCCCCGAGATCCACCCCCCGCACATCAACATCTCTCAGACAACTCTTCCCCGTCTAGTTGAAACCCTCCCCGTGACCGCGTCTATCGAGCGTGCACACATTTTCCACGGGATAACGCGAAAGGGCCTTTCATACCCTCCGCCAAGAGGGAAAAAAAAGCCGAGAACTACAGAAAAAAGGTGAGATTCAGTGCGCATGGGAGTGAGGAACAGTGGCGACAGTGGAAACGAGGCGAAGAAAATGAGTGAAAACCGAAGAAATCCAATAAGCCTTTGAATTCATCCCGATTCCCTCAAAAAATACCGCCATAAACCCCCGAGCCCCCGCCCCAGAGCGAAAAAGCTCCGAGAAACTGCAAAAATAATGACAAAAAATACTCACGATAAATGTTCCTTATCACTTTATCGCACCTCTCAGCCACCAAAAGGGGTAATGATTCCCTCTGTACTCTGACATGCACTTGGGCCACCTCAATGACTCCAGACGCTCGAACCACTCCAACAATTGAATCGGAAAAATAATCGAATTCGTAATGCCCCCTTCACCGATTCACATCCCACAACTTCACTCTATCTCGCTATTTGCGCAACTGATTTATCACAAAATGACTGAATGAACCGAACGAAAAAAAAACTAATAATCACTCCGATTTCGTGCAATTTCAATCGTATTATCCCGACTTCTTACCCTGTTTGAATGCTCCGGGTGGGTTTTGGTGTCTATTTGATCGATAATTCGAAGGAACCTCCGGACCGGCACAGCCCCGCTACGTCCCAGTCGGCCAACTATCTATTGAGAAGGGAGCGAATAAGAGAACGGGCGGCTGCTGGAGCCTGAGGGGAGAAAAATCTCTCTCTCTTTCTCTATTTCTCTCCTCCTCCGGTCTATTCACTGATGCTGGAGAGTACGAATATTGCGCGGTGGAGCAGCGGATGGTCGACTAAATCGTAATGTCAATTTTCACTTGCACTGAATTTTTTAAATTTATCCGCGGGGACTGTCAGTGCTCTTGCGGTTCAATTTTCCTCCGCCGATTCCGCGATTTTTTGAGTCTATGAATTTTTCGATTTGCGGTTTAACAATTACTCCATTTAGTTTATTTGTATTGGGTGGTTTTAGTGTTTTTTATTTTTCCGGTAATTGTTTAATGTTCACGAGTCGCTGTGGAGAAGTGCCTCTCCTTACCGCTCGGAAGGTCGGTAGAGAGACGGGCACACGGGTAAAACGATACAAATCGACTCGTGAACTTTTGACAGCGGTGGACGCGCACTGGCGGTAGCGGCGACTGTGGCGACCTCACGCCCCGCCCCACCCAGTGTTTATGATTGCTGGAGGATGCGGTGTGCGGGGGCTTGTGTCATCGGGCATCGGGATCGATCGATGACTCTGTGCAGGAACCCCCCACCGGCGATGGGGAGTTGCGGCGGTTTGTAGAGGGGCGAGTCACCCTGGGGTGGGAGGGCCATCGCGCCATCTAATGGTGCGGGCGGTGGGGACCGCCGACTGCCGGCACCGAGGGGATCTTCTTGCTGGTTCTTTTGCGGGGCTTTTTGAATTCAGTAGCGAAGTGGTAAAACGGTATAGGGGAGGTTCGGGTAAAATGGACACTTTTGACTTTTTTTCAAATGTTAGTAACAGCTTGAAATGTTGATGAAATTCGATAGTTTTTTTTTCAATGCAAAGGACATTTCTTTCCCTTTGTAATGCGCCTAAACTGAGCTCAGTTGATGAATTTGTTTCTGAGTTATGAGTAATTTTAAAAAAGTCCAAAGTGTCCATTTTACCATATCCTCCCCTAAGTCAGTTTTGACTATTGACCAGTTTTCAATGAATATCTCGGAATCTAAGGGAGATAGCAAAATTGTTGTTATAACCTTTTTTGTGCAGCCGATTGAGTGCTACACCAAATGTAATTACGAAAATTTCGCTATCCCCCTTAGATTCGGAAATATTCCTCAAAAACTCAACTGGTAGATAAGTCGACTTAAACCCTTTTACCAGTTCGCTGCGGAATTTTAGGGTGATGTTTACTACAGCATCGTTTTTGAAAACTAGATTAGTCCGCGCGCTCTGCGCGCATATGTCTTACTCCAGGGGGCTCAATGTATGTCAATCGTAGTGAATAGTGTTGTATTAGATTTATGTAGTTGATATCAAGTTTTCCGAAGGAAAAGTTTGAGGATTGTATTGTCTTTTGACTAGAGATGCAAATGCGTCACATGATTCGTCCCCCTCCCTCTTCTCTGACCGTCGCAACTTGTGAAGAAAAAATGACAGTCATTTTTCATCTATATTGATGAAACTTTATTTTTTTCTCGGTCAATTTTCAGTTGAATTCCTTTTGTATTGGCCTAATCCGCATTTTGAAATTGAAATCACGATTTTTTTCCATCCATATAAATGAAACTATTTTGTTTTATTCATGACCGTCACAAATTGGAAATTAGTTATGACCGTCATTATGCAACTATATAGATGGTTTGACAACAATTTGGTTACAAATGATTTGTGACAATCATTTGTAGTTGGAAAATTTGTGCGTCACATGACCGTTATTTTTTGGTCATATGACGCGATCTAAAAAATTACGGTCATTTTGCATCTCTAATTTTGACGTGGATACGTGATATGTCTATGGTTTTAATGTGGGACATTTTGGGAAACGGGCCTTATGTGCAGCTCCATCTACCAGAATTCTAGAAAATTCTAAACATTTCGAGTTAATTTGAAAAGGTTCTTGAAATTTCGAAAAAATTCAAGGAGTTTCTAGAAAATTAATTGACATTCAAAGGATTTTTTTGTGTATAAAAAATATTTATTGTAACAAAAATTTATAAACATTGCAGTTTCAAAGATTGTTTTTCGGTCCAACGGGCTTGTCCCTCAGATTTTTATCAATCATCACGCATCACCAGAATAATGAGTCAACATAAACATCGTTTTTTTTTCAATTATTTATTTTCTACCTAATAATGACATTCATTAATGTACGACAAAATTCTGTACAAATGAATCAACTTCCTCTGTAATGCTGGAACAATTGAGTACAAAGTATTAAACATATTATGGCAGTACGGAATATTAACATGATTCTCTTTACAAGTAACTGTGACATTGATCTAAAGTTGACTTAAAGAACTGCTCCGTAATGATTCATAAGAATAAATAAATAAATAAGTAGATTAGAATTTGATATTCTTCACTATAAAATAGTATGACATTTATCTAACATCACTTTCGGCGTCATTAAGGACAATAGTAGCATTAACTATTACCATTCACTTCGATTGTGACAAGGTATCATTATCTTATTTTTTTGGTTGTGTGAAATCTTTCTTGAGAGAAGACAAGATTTTCATCCTTCGTCGTTTACAGAAATGAAAATTCAGTTGTGAAGTGGTTTATCTGGTTAATTATTTCGTTATTTTCAGGTGACGGGTGTTCCAGAACTCAAGGAAAATATTTTCCGCGAAGAATAAAATCTCGTAAAATTTTTCACCAATTTGGGACACAATTTGTGACACTGTCGATTCATGATGGGAAATATAGACATAAATGTGAGTTATGGGTTGTTATACAGGGTGACGTCAGCACCTTGCTTACATATTTCAGGAGGACATAAAATATATACCAGGAATTTAATCGTAAAACAAAGATTAAGTTCCGATAGTAGACTTTCAAATGGCGGACGTTAGAATTTTTCGATACTTCAGCCAATCACGCTGTGATTGACTGCCACTATGATTGGAACCGGTGACGCAGCTGTCCATGGGACTTTAGAATATAAATAAAGTTTATATGGTACTTAATATTGCTCTTCATGATGATAAAATTATCGGTTTAGTTGTTGCAATAAACTTTCCGCAAACTTTCGCAGATAATGTTGCTTCAATTATCGCGCACAATGGCGCCATAGTTGTCAGACCTAGGGATGGGCGATGTTTGTCGGTTAATCGAAAACGTCGATTTTTCATGGCTAAACATCGACGTTTTTCATTCGATGTTTTGAACGGCCGATTAATCGATTTTCGATTCTTTCTTCCAAACATCGATGTTTCTGACCAAACTAACAAAATTTTTCATTTTTTTGTCCAAGAATAATGTTGATTGATTGAGAATAAACAAAATAATAATTTATCTAGAGTCAGAAGTAATTATTTTCTACAGCATATATATGCTTGAAATGATAAGTGAACAAGTCCACCCGTCTATTGTTTTTTTAAAGAAAGAAAGAGAAGAGATGAGAAAAGAGAAGAAAATTTTCAATACATTTTCTTCAATGAATCAAAAATCCTGTTTCGAGATTCAAAATTTAACTTTTCAGCAGTACTTATCATTGGAACGTAAGTTCCTCTGGTTGTATTTTTTGAATATATATTTTGCCAAAAAAAAAGAGCAAAATTTCTAAAAAAAAATTTCGTTTCTCCTGTGTAATGAGAAAAACATCGATTTTTTAAATCTTCGAAGTTTTTCCTGAAAAATCCATTCCCAACATCGATGTTTTTGAAAAACATCAATTCTTCGATAATCGATGTTTTTTAAAATCGCCCATCTCTAGTCAGAATATTGCCATTTTCAATTATGGCCGCATATTTTTTCACTTCTCATTAGTATCGCAATGGAAACTACATTTGGTATTATTATTCATTACAAAAAAAGTCACAATTCAATTTTTTTAATTAACCATTGATATGGTAATGAAATATTAATAATGGAAAAAATCGCTAATTATTAACGAATGGTAAAGTTGAATATGGCCAAATAAATATTCGTAATAGTTAACGAATGGTTCACTTGAAAGGTGAATTCATTAATTATTAACGAATGTATATTTGGTGAGACCGAATTGACCCTAGACTTCAACCAAATTCATTTGTTAACAATAACTAATCCTGTCTATCAGTGCACTATTCAAAAATTGATTATCGAAATTTCATAATTCTCGTGCCACTGAATTACTGATTTTCCATGCTATTTCTCCTTACAATCTGTAAACAAGGTGCTGACATCACTCTGTATCTACAGTAGATGCTTCGTATCAGATACCTCTCTATAAGATACCTCGCGCTCCGAGAGCTCGAGGTCTACCCCCACTCTCGGCACTTTTATCCCCTCTCGAATGTTTATGTTCTGTGGGGTTCATATAAGATACCTATGGCCCCGATCATTTTTCAACGGGAAGAGAGTAGTTATAACGATACAACGGTATTAAGGTTCAAACGGGAGGGACGAACCTTAAACCGAAAGTGATCATCAGGGTCTAATGACCTTAAGGGGGATCACACCACTTTCTTCAAGTAGTGGAAATATACATAGATTTTGTTTTCACTTTTCCCATCGAAAAATCTTAATTTTTCGTCAGTGATTATTCTCGGATCCACCAACAATCCCCCAACATCAGCTGTCATTCTACCACGCGGAGTTATGTTTAGAGAGAAAAGGGAACGCGGGCCATACAAATTCAAAAAATTAAACACATAAATTGATTAGTTATCGATATTCATTCAGTAAAAATGAAAATTTTATTGAATTCGGGCGCAACGAGCGAGGTATCTTATTTGAAACCCACACGGAGAGAAATATTCAAGAAAAATTACGGAACATTTCACGTAATCCGCAAGCGAGAATCGTTTTTCGGGTCTGTCACCGAAAAAATACGAAAAAGTCACGTAATTATTCTGGAAGTTGTAAAATCTAACAGAAACTTCAAGACTTATTATGCCTCAGAACATGAAAATTCTTGGATGTTTAAGAATTTTTACGAAAAGTTCCGGAAAAATTACGGAACGTGTTGTTAAAATCTCCCCCTCACGGTGACTCATGGCTAGCCGTGAGGCGTCGGACGGATGAGTAATTTTTACGGAACAGATCGTAGAATTTACGTGACGATTGACACTTTTTATTGAATTTTACTTCGCTCCCAGATTACGTTTCGAAACGTAATTTTTACGTCTTTTTTCTGGTAATTTTTATTGAATATTTCTCTCCGTGCACTGATCCCTACTTTTCTCCTCTCTATGGGCGCGCGTAGTGCGGGCATAGGGATTCCCGTAATTCCACTCTCCTACTGTCCCTAAGGTATCTTATACGAAGCGTCTACTGTACTAGATGTGTATAGCCAAATCGTGAAAATGACATGATTGTAAATCTGATGATGAAACGCTTAAAATAAAGCGTTGTCATCATATTTGGAAATCATTTTTTTGCCAATGCATTTGATACTGTTTTGTCCGTTAAAAATTGTTATGTTAGATCGCAAAAATTCGGTTAAATGAACCAAATTTTCAAGTGTTTCCGGTATGGTTCTCGATTACTATGTGCACGTAGGAATTTTCAATTTTATGTTCTCTCCGTGCATATTATCAAGTTTTTCCTCGAGTTTAATTCACCTAGCCACTTCACTACTGCACTTCACTATCATATTTAATAAGAAACCTAGGAGGGTTAATTACAATTTACATTGCTGAACTCGTCCGCTTCCTACTATGCCTGTTGTCTTCTTCTCTCGAGTCGAAAACCTCGTTAACATCTTCAGTGAAGTCTGATTGCAAATTATCTACATCTGCATCTTGTCTAAAAAAAATTGTAAAAAGTGGGGGAAATTATGACTGGATTACGACAAGGGCTTTAGCAGATGGATTTGAGGAAATGCTCACGTATATCTGTTGTCTGATGGCAGAAACAGCGACTTCGGACAGTTCTTGAAGTAAGGCCAACACTCGCCATGCTGTTTACCCCGATTTTCCGCTTCTACGTATTCTTTGAGTAAATTCGCGAATGGCGACTTACTTGCCCTGAAAATCCAAAATGAGAATTAGTATCATATTGACGGGAAACTTGCAGTGAGTTTGCACAGAAATCGTAAGATATCCTCTGCAAAAAGTATTTTTTGGTAAATTGCAATTGCGCTACATGATAACACGAGACGATTAAATTATAATTTGAAAAATCGACTCGAGGGGTTACTCACACTATTAGAAATTTCTTGAAATTTCAGTCACATTGTCATCTGAATTTTCAATGTTGTGAGTTGGAATTCAATTTTAAATGAAAGCGTCCACCAAATCAGTAGCGAAGTGATCAAACGGTTTAAAGTAGTATGGTCACGGATCGATGTCCAAGATTCAAATATGAAATAATTTTTTTATGAAAGTTAATATCAATAAAAACCTCCTGGTGCAATTTGTGGTACAGTGATCGTTTAGTATGGTTGATAAGAATTACTGAAAAACTAGATTTTGACACAGAGTCTTATGGGCAAATCACATTTTTGGGTGGTTTTTATGATAAATCCAGGATTAAATTATTTAAAAAATACCAAAAAATGGGGAAAAAAAACAAAAATTTACGACCATCGATGAAAATTATTGACCGTTTGGGACTTTAGTTATAAATAATTTCTGCTCCTCGGTGTTCGGAAATTGCGTGTCGAGTAGATGCGGCAACGACGCGTTAGTGGAGTGGGGACAAGCGGGCATTTCAAATCTCGTTTTCCCTACGCTGTTAAATTACAGCGGAGGTACATTATTTGACTAATAAGTGAAAAATAATAAAAATAATCGATTAATTCTTATATTCATAAATTTTATAATTTACAAAAAGAATTTTCAATTATAAATCAGAGTTTTTTGATTAATTTTTTTAGATTTTCTTGACGGACACTCAACGATCACTTTGGAGAGTGACCATACTACTTTAAGTCGATTTTGGTTATCGGCCAGTTTTCAGTGAATATCTCGAAATCTAAGAGAGGTAGCAAAATTATTCTTACAACCTTTTTAATAGTACTCAATTCGCTCTACAAAAAAGTTACCATGAAAATTTCGCTATCTCCCTTAAATTCTGAAATATTTCAGAAAAACTCAACTAAAGAATAAATTGACTTAAACCGTTTGACCACTTCGCTACTGAAATTTCTCATTCATCTTGAAAATTCAAGAAAATAGGTTTTTTCATGTTAAAGAATCCTTGATTTTTCAATGAAAACTTGAATTTCCAAACTCATCGTAAAAATTGAACATCACATACAGTTCAATTTTCAATAGATTGAAAATTCAGAGAAGCTATTGGCTGAATTTTCAAAATTGTCAAGGTTTTTCAGTGCGTATGGACCTGAAAATCGAGAATGACTTGAATATTCAAGAAATTAACTGATTCGTCAATGAAGAATTCTACATACATTTCATGTAACTTTATTGTTGTTAACAATTTCAAGCTTTTTCACTTGAAATTTCAAGAGTAATTTTCTAACAGGGGGCACTCCATAATTGCATGACACCATAATTTCAAAATGAAATCGATTTCGGGTGATTTCAGTGATTTCGGTGATTTCGAGCGTCACGGCAGGTGATTTCATGATGTCGAATGATTTCATTAATTCGATGATTTCATGATTTCGAATGATTTCATTAATTCGAAATGATGAAATCACCTTCCGTTTATTTTTCTGAAATCACTGATTTCGAATTAATTAAATCATTCGAAATCAGTCATTTCAGAAAAATAAAGTTAGTAAATAATAAAGGTTGAGCAAAATGGGTTGTGTCAAATTAAGAAAATCAAAATTGGCAATAATAACTGGCAAACAACAACGAATTCGTTTGATTCCACTCCGCCAATCTTGGGCTAATGACGACGAAAAGCGGTCCATTTTACCATTTTACTATGGCAGTGAGTACGGCATTTTATTATCATCGTTGACAGGCGTGTCAGTTTCAAAATCACGAATTACTAGCACGGTTCGCGCTACGCCATTGTACCATTAATTTCGGTGATTTCATTGATTTCAGACGATTTCACGTGATTTCGGAGATGATTTCGAAGAGCTGAAATCACTTGATTTCCGTGATTTCGGACCGATTTCATGCCAGAGTGGCGCCATGATTTTGGGAGTGAGTAGCCCCTCGAATCCACCAAAAACACTAGAAAAATTTACTTCTCGTTACAAATGTGATTGGGCCAACTCACGTGAAAAACAGTCTGAGCATTTCTCCAATGAGTCCAAAGTTATTGAGTGGATGGCCTTGAACTTCGCAAATAGCCCTTAACAAGCATGCCTTGCCGTCGAGTCCCATGGTGCTCAACATATCCTCGGCAGTGCCATACAGAAGTGCCCGTTCCCCGCCGTGAAATGCATTTTTCGGTGGGGCCTCTTGTAAATCACGTTTGTGTAGTCTCCGCTTGACGAATGAGGCAATAAAGTCAGCCATCACCATACCAGCCTGACGGCTCTTCATTCCCCTGTCGAATACTGGCGGAAGAGCACCGTACGGATTTTCGTTATCGGTCAGTCCCAGTTTGTCAAAATCAACTGCAAACAATTTATTATTAATCATAATAATGGGGGTGGGGGAGGCGAAGGCCATTCAAGGATATCGAGGTACACTGACGGAAAAAATTAATTTTAATTTTAATCTATTAACATATACCAATCCTTCATATTTTGATAGAATTAAGCACTCATCCCGAGTGGAAATTTTGATCAGGTTCGCTGATCATCAGAAGTAAGACAGAAATTCGATAGTGGTCCGTCTTTTCTGATCGGGCGTTTTCGATAAGTATACAGCCAGTTACTGACGAAACTATCTGGATCCGTCGGGACTCAGCTTTCTTGATCGTATTCTAATCAGTCGAACAGTTCGGATCCGTACATTCGGATCAGATTTGGCTCCTCAACACGTAGAGAAATATTCAGTAAAAATTACGGAACAATTCACGTAATGCGCAATGGGGAATCGTTTTCTGGCAATTTTTATAGGAATGGAAGAGAAGAAATCTGAAACGTTCAGTGAATTTTCAGAATCATCACCGAACAAAGTGCGAAATTGTCACGTAATTTTTCCCGGAGAAGTAAAATCTTACACAAACTTGCCGACTTATTATGCCTCCAAAATCAAAAATTCTTGAACGTTCAACAATTTTTATGAAGCTGGTGAGTTATTTCTACGTTCTGTTCCGTAAAATTTCTCAATCGTTGGGGAAAAATTACGGAACGACTTGTTGTCCCCACAGCGGTGGATCATCAGACTGGTGGTTAATTTTTACGGAACAAATTTACATGGCGATTCGTACAATTTCAGTTCCGACACACACTTTTTATTGAATTTTACTGCGCTCGCGGATTACGTTTCGAAACGTCATTTGTACGTTTTTTTCTGGTAATTTTTATTGAATTTTTCTCTCTGTGAACAGCGTTACAAGGTCTTGTCAGAAACTGACCATGTTCAGTTTTTACGGATCAGTTTCGGACTCCAGCCTGATTTGAATTTCCACTCGGGATGTGGAATGGACAAACGTACAATGAACGTATTCCGTACAAATTGATGGGATGGGATTTAACCAAAAACACATTTTCGAAGAAAATGCCCTCATCCTAGTTTACCAATTCACCACGGAAATGTTATTGGAGTGAATGGAAACATTTCAAATTAAGAGCTCCATTTAATAAAAATAGACCATTTGTCTCCGTGCGGGGATAGAACTTCTTCAATCAATGATAGTCAATTACTTGTGAAGGGCAGACTGATCGTCATGTTGCTGAGAAACCCGTAAGGTGGGTATCGAACAAACGGAAGTGCTATGGTCGGCGTTATCGTCATAACAGTTCCCGGTGGCAGCGCTATCCGTCCATCGTTGGTCAGCCACAGGACTCGCTTCTGTCGATGATGAGGTTCGTCCGATTTTTCACTTCGCGAAGGCGATGATTGACAGCTTTTCAGCAGGAGCAGACAGGGGACTAGGATGAGGGCTTTGCGTAACATATTGTCTGCAACAGAAGATTAAATTTTGGGATTAAACTATCAATTATTAAAATAATACGAGTACAGGGAAGGAAATATTCAGTAAATATTACGGAACAATTCACGTAATCCGCAATGGGGAATCGTTTTCCGGCACTTTTTACAGGAAATGGAAGAAACAAAAACTGAAACGTTCAGCGAATTTTCAGGTTCATCACCGAAGAATGTACGAAATTGTCACGTAATTTTTCCCGAAGAAGTAAAAACTTACAGAAACGTGCCGACTTATTATACCTCGGAAATCAAAAATTCTTAAACGTTCAACATTTTTTATGAAGCTGGTGGATTATTTCTACGTTCCGTTCCGTAAAATTTCTCAATCGTTGCACGGAGAAACCACTTTTGGGTTCCGTATAGGAAGGTGGACGGCTCAGAATTACGTTTTTCCACGTCCTACACCC